CTCTGACATTCTCACATACATGGCTGCCTCGCTGGCCATGGTGGCCATAAAAAGTCACTCAAGTGGTATTAAATGTACCACCAAGTGCAGTCAGCATCGGGAAGTGGAAAGTGGCAGTTGTTGTATGTGTGTGTGTGTGTGTGTGTCCCAGACGAGTAGAGGATACAAGGGGTAACGGGCAACCGGAAATAGGATGAGAACTTCGAGGAGCACCTGGCACAAAAGGTTAAGACCCAAGGCAGCCCGCACACACACACAGGACACAGGCACTCCGCACTACAAGTGGGTTCGTACGAGTGTGTGGCATATTAGAAATAGAGAAATCTTTTTGGCTCGAATCGAAATTGACTTTTTCTGTTTGCCGTGTAATTTTTGATTGAAACTGAGTGGCCCTTGGCCCTCCGTCACTTCACTTCACTTCCCCTTCGCCTTCCACTCCACTGAAATTCGAGAACTTATTTATTTGGAAACTTTTGGCCGAGGCGAAAAGTGTGGTGGAGCCCTGGGTCTCGTACGCGGGCTGTCGAAATCATTAGGCATTTTTTTTTACACTTAACTGCCGAAAAGGTGACCAGCTGTTGCTTCCAACCCACGGCAAACCCAAAACTAAATGCTGAATTACGCCCTGACCCTCCACCGCTTTTTTCGTGACAAAATGAGAAATAAAAACGAAACTAAAAATAAAAGTAATAAGCGAAAAGGGTTTTTCATTTTGGCCAACACCCGAAAGCAGCTGCGACCGGCAGCGGGGAAAACAACAATGAAAATGTTTTGAGAAATTCAACGAAGACAAGACTATTGCGGGTGCACCGAAGCCTGCAATGCCCTTGAAAGGGGCCGAGCTCAAGCGGCAAGTGTCTGAATGGGAAGCGAAAATAGGGATACGGCCTGCGTTTGACAGGTCATAACTGGGTCATATCCTCAAGTGATTGCTGATGCCTCAACAGCAGTCGCATCAAGGATACAGAATTATACATTTCTTAAATAAACAAAACTATTTGTCGGCTTTCATTTGTCCACGCTATGGCCATTAAATGTAACGAGCAATGGAGAACCAACTAATGGAGAAAAAAATCACTTAAACACTTAATAAATAAATGATTCCATGGTTGAAGCCTTTTAGTCCACTTGTGTTGCTTTTAGACTTGTTGGGCAAGTTCTCTGCCATATCTGCGACACTCTGAGGCTCGCCAGTCTGCCAATTTATCCGTATTCCGATTCAGCACTTTTGATGTGTCCAGCTACAGAAATCCATTTCCCATTCCATTTACAATAAGTCTGCAACTATTTTGGCACTGAAAAGTGAGCCAAAAGCAAAAACCATTCTGCCAAACGAAAACAAAAGCGACGGCCTTCCCATGCCCATTCCCCATTCCCCATGCCAGAAGCCACAAGCCATCCAGGCTCTGTGCTGCCCAGCACTTGAACAAATTTCACTTTTATACAACTTTCATTTAAAGCGTAAACACATACAGAAGAAGGGTAATGGGAACGGAAGGGGGCAACATAAACTTTTACCAGCTCATAAAAAGCTCAGAAACAAGCGAACAAAATCGAATGCCCATAAAAAATGCACTGCGGCGTCTGATTCAGCGCAAAAGGAGAGACGCTGCCGGTGGCAGTGGCAGTGGCAGCTGCACAGACGAAGCGGCCCCTAGTTTTGTAGCCAGTTGTTCTGGTCCCTGGCACGTTGAGATTGTGTGGTCCAGTGGATTGATTTCCCTTTTGGGTGGCACAAACAAAACGGCTACGGGCGAGCCATGGTCAAGTGCTGTCGCGGTGGAAGTGCAAAACACATGAAAATCAAACGCGGCGAAATGAACATCAAAAGTAACAGCTTTTTGATTGCCCTTTCTCAAAACTTCACGCAGCGATAGTGAAATGATTAGGATTTGCCGAAAGTTGCAGAGTTTCAGGTCCTCGCTCTCATTTTGCCCGCCGACTCTTGAAACTTTCCCTGTTTTCTGTTGCACAGCGGCAGCGGAGCGGCTCGTTCTCCTCCGCCAGCTTGAAATTCTTTACGGGACCTGCCATTTGGCTGTCATAAAATAGCTGGCAGCAATAGCTTGATGGCAAACGTGTTCCAATTAAGCGAGATCCCACTGCCAGCCCCCCTCCAAAGTGTAGTTAATTTAAATGAAATTTGTAAATTTCTGTTGCATGCACGTGACACATGCAAATATGGGAAATAAAAATGAACTCATAAAAATTGACTTTCGCGCAGGCCCGCGTCAAGGGAATGAGGTGGGGAAATATGTTGCTACTTGTAGCTATTTCCCAGCTGCCAGATGCTCATCAGAACAGGCGGACAGCTGATCAAGAATATAAATATATACTTTATATATTTGCATATAAAACGCCAACACGCTCCTTTAGCTCGCCCCCTTCCCCAAAGCCACACACTGCAGAGTCTCGGCGGAGGCAGAGGCCGCATACAGCAGAAGCAGAGTGTGAATGAGAGAATGTGAAAAAAAACAAAAGCTGCTGGACGGGGTGGGTTTAGCCACTGAAAATTAATTTCTTCATTCTGGCTATAAGAATGATCCTACGGACAGACAGACTCGGCTATTGATTCTGATCAAGAACATATACATATACTCTATGAGATCGGAAACGTTACCTTCTGTGCTTTACACACATCCACTTTGTGCACAAATACAATATACCCTGTTTACTCTTCGAGTAACGGGTATAAAATGATGCAAAGAGAGCCAGGGAATGGGAGGATGAAAGCCAATTTAAACACGTTAATTAAAAACTGCCTTTGCGCGCACCCACACTCACTTGTCGAGAGGTGCAAGTGTAAGGAGAATTGTTGTTGGTTCGTTTCGAGAGTCTAAAGCCGTAGGGTACGGTAATAAACCAAAACAAAATAAATAAAGGAAAAAAATGATCGTCACAGAGAAAAATATACGAGCATTTGCGAAAAAAAGTATAAACTGTAAAGCAAACATAAAACACAAATTTCCACTTGCCTTTTACGTTCTTCTCTTCCTCATTGCGCTTCTTCTTTTCGCATGTGTCGTGAAGCATTTATTGTCCTCTTCACGCACATGCATACGTAACCCGCACGACGAAACGACGAAACGAAACAAATGTAACGGGATCGAGCGAGAGATTTTAATAAGAGCACAGATTTTGGGCACATTAATTTAGGGTGAGGCATTGGGACAGAAGTTCGTATGCACACACTCAACGAGAGAGAGTCTGACTAGTACGAATTGGGTTGCCTCACCCTCTTAGGGGACACTTGAAATGAGAGCGCTGACACTCGCTCTTTGCTTTTTGCGCCTCTTCTTATTTCTTTTTCTTTCTTTTATATGATTGCACTGTAAAGGGAGGGGACAACTTCGCGCCTTTTCTGGCACATTTTCACACACACACACATTGCAAGCCCTTGGTGCAAATTTAGAACGTACGTACATACATTTGTACGAAAAATAATAGACTTTTAACACTTCACTTTCACATATTGCCGCATATTTCCAACGCCGATCTGCTTTTATCCATTAAATGCTCAACCATTTCACCATATTTCACTGCACTTCACTAACACACACTTCACTTTCACATATTATCGCATATTTCGCAAATGATCTCGCATTTTTTGTCCACTAAATGTTCAACCATTGCATCACATTTTATTTCACTTCACTAACACTCACTTCACTTTCACATATTGCCGCATATTTCCATCGACGATCTGCTTGTAGCCTTGCTTTGCCCATTTTGCCGTTTAAATGCTCAACCATTTCACTACACTTTACTAACATACACTTATTGCTGTATATGCACATTACTCCGATACTTTTTCCCTTTTATTTACCCGAATTTTCCCGATTTTACCCGATTTTTCCGATTTTTCGCGGACCGAATCCGTACCGGACCGAACGCGCTGACAAATTTTTAACTACTGTAATAAGGGTGAGGAAGATGCAAAAGAGGTAAACTGCGTAGGTGTTGGTGGCTTAGGCCGCGCTCCCCTACTCTCAAATCTAATGCACATGGATTGTGACGTGCCTTTGGGCATACTGCTCTCTGGGATTTTGTGCTAGACGACCAGATCAGTGTAGGGTGAATCTACATATGTACGTTTTTCGAACAATTTACATGGGATTTGCCGTGCAGAGAAATGGAATGTTCGCTCTCTTTACATTTAGCTAATGAGGAAGTGAAGAGGAGAAAGAATAAGAAAATATTGAGCTGCTGGAGTGCGGGCATGAATACAAATCAAATCGGAAAATCGATTTAAAGGGAGTTAAATTTATGATTTATTTTAAATAAACAATCAATATGCGCCGTTGTTTTTATGTTTTTTTTTCTTTATGGTTCTCTTTGGTTTTCTTGTGAGAGCTAGAGAGCAACGTAACGGCGAAACATTGCGAGACTGAGCTCTGTCGTTCTCTTTGCCTTGTATGAGTGAATAGGAAAGACAATTGGATTCTTAGTGTTGGTGGCTTTTGACTCGCTCTCCTACTTGCAAATCGAATGCACATTTATTCTGTAGAGCAGTTTGACCTTCCGTCCCTGGAATTCGGTGCAAGCCGACTAAGTCAATGTAGGGTGATTTCACATTGTTGGTACATTCTCCTTCGCATTTGACTAATTGTCAGAAAAATGTTTTGGTGGAGGGGGGGGGGGGGGGGATAAAGAAGATGCGAAAGAAGTGCTGGCTTGAATTCAAATTATATGAAAATCCCCGATTTGGGATCCGATTGGATCATTATCATAGCCACAATGAAGAAATTGATTTGCAGTGGCTAAACCAACCCCGTCCCACAGTATTGTTGTTTTTTCCACATTTTCTTATTCACACTCTGCTTCGCGCAGTGTGCGGGCTAGCTAAAGGATCGTGTGTGTGTGAGAAGTGTTGTAGATGTAGAGGACAGATGAAGAAAAAATGTAAAATTTGACAAAACACCACTAAGGTACAGATCTTGTACTGAGTACCGCGTATAAAAGTTGTGACGCGTAAGAAGCGTCTCACACGTCCCTTCTAGTTGGTCTTCTTTTCTGTAGTTCCTAATCACTTCACTCACTTTTGCCAAGCCGCCTTTTGCAATGCCTTAAATTCTGTATGCAAAGCACACACAACGCACGCATTCTTGCACACACACACATTGTCAGTCGTGTTTAAATATTTCAAATTCGTGTTGCAATGAAGCGTAAAACTGTTTAAATCGTTGCAATTCCTTACCGCATCAATTTACCGCTAATTGAAAGGCAAAACTGTCGCATTACAAAGGTAATTTGCTCTCGGTTGCGGGGTAGATTGTTATCCATTCTGGGCTCAAACAAAATTAGTTCTAGTCAATCAAAGGTTAATTGCACATTGTTGCAAATCAAAGAATTTTATTATGCAAACTGGCGGGTGGCTGGGCTGGGCTGGGCTGGGCTGGATGGATGGATGGAACAAGCTGATTCAGGGCATCAGCATGAAGGTGTGGGTATGCGGAGATTAGGGGTGGATACAGTAAGTAAGCCATAAACTTTCATGGCAGCTCAAACGAGTCCCACACTCTTTCGTACACGCAGACACACAGCCGCACGGCAACTCACATGCATTTTAATCACATAAAACTCACTTACACTGGCAACATTTTGCGTCATTTGTATGAGCAAAGTGCGAATGGGGAGAATGGATGTCTCAGAATGGGGTACATCAGCTAAGACAGGAATCAAGTGAAAACCAAACTTAAATATATATTTTCTACTACTTAGAGTGTATTAACACATCAGCGAGTGGTCTTGTAGGAGCTTCTCCTTTCTCTCTTAGGTTTTTTTTTTAGCGTCCGCACATTTCAGTTGTACAAATGTGTGTATGTACACATATGCGAAACATTTGCCAGCAAACAAATTTATGCGGCAACATATAAATCCTGTAACAGTAGCTGCCACAGTTGCTGGAACACACGACGCCTCTCACACAGCTGTGAAGTTGCAAGTTGCGAGTTGTGAGCGCGGGTGGCAAATAGTTTATGCGAAAAAGCTTCCCAAAAAAGTTTCCAATTTGCTGGCAAAGAACATCTTAATTTAATAAAGTGCCCGGGGCCGCACTGGGGACCCCACTAGGGGCAGGGGCAGGGGCGGCAGCAGCAAACTCACAAATTGTTGGGCTGCACGCAGATAAATCTCAATTAGGCAATACTTGAATGCAGTAATAAACAGTCGGCTGGGTGCCTGCCTGCCCCAAATGAAAGGACAGCACTGGGACTGGGAAAGTTGAGCAAGGAAAATGCGAGGCTCTTTTCACTCAAACTCTGACGAGTTTTCGCATTTTTTATTCAAATGTTTTTTGCTCTTTTTTGCACTAATTTAACAGAAAGTATTTCGATTTTGTTGTTTACTTTTTGCTTTATAGTTAATTGACAACATTTCTATGAATAGAAATAAAGGCATTAAATTATTTGGCACTCGAAGGAAATATTAATAAATCATAAATTAATTGAGAAACTTAAACAAAACAAAATCAAAGAGGGGCCACGTGTTGTGACTGATTAGAAGACTTGAACACGATGATTCTCGCGATCGCAGACCAAGATGTTGCCATTGGACATGATGGCGACGCCCTCCAGTCCTTTGAACTCCGAATCGCCGGAGCCCCAGGAGCCGAAGGTCTTCAGGAAGCTGCCATCCGGATTGAAGATCTGTATGCGATTATTGCCCGAATCGGCCACAAATATATAGCCCTGGTCGTCCACCGCCACACCGCTGCGGAGGAAGAAGAACACATAACCAAAGTTGACACTTTGTCAATTAAAAATTGTAATTCGATTTACTCACCGTGGAAACTTGAACTGACCATCGTCAGAGCCCTCGCCGCCCACCGTGGACAGAACCTTGCCGTTAACATCAAAAATCTGTGGCACAGCCGCAAGAGGCACCGAAGATGGAGGAGAAAACAGGTCAAATAAATTCGAATGAATCTCAATTGCATTTGCAATTGGGAGCATATTTTAATTAAAATTGTTCACATGGCCAGACAGCCATGAAGTTGGTTGTGCGGCCGGTGGAGGAGGGCTACGAGGGGTGTTTGGCTTACCTGGATCCTGTGGTTATTCGAATCGGAAACAATCACACGATTCGTATTCGATACGGCTATATAATGCGGATGCTCAAGTTGTCCTTCGCCACGGCCGCAGGAACCAAATTTGCCAACGAAGGAACCATCGGATTGGAAAACCTGACGAATGCGAATCCGAATGCGAATGCGAATGTGAGGAGAGTATGAGTATTCGATAAAAGTTGGCAAATTGAAATGGAAAGAGGGCACAAGAGGACCGCACCAAGGAGCAGTACCCCGGACATGAGCCAGCAAAAAGTACACAAAAGTACATTCCAGTTAAGCTCATGAAAATTGTACCAGAGCCGTGTGTGTGCAGCAGCTCAAGTGTGACAAATTGGGCAAGGCCGAGCGGAGCCTCTCGACCACAGCCAGAGGAATATAAATATTTGCATACAAATCGAGTTAAAAGAGGGTCCCGTCCGTAGACTCACCTGCACTCTGTGGTTCTCCTTATCGCACACGTAAATGAAGCCGAGTGCATCGGTTGTCACTCCCCAGGGATAATTGAATTTGCCATCTGCGGTGCCCTGCGAACCAAAAGCTCGCAGGAACCTTCCCTGCGGATCGAGCACCTGTATGCGATGATTGTATCTGGGAACAGAGTAAAGAGATGGATTAATGGCCGGAGTGCTACCAAATGGGCCACCATTCTCCTTGTTAAATGCGCACCAAAAAAGGAGGCCCTCGCTCAATCTCGAGAGAGATATCATTATACGGAGGCGGAGCTCCTCGCATGCCGTGTGGCTCGGGCTGTTCAGTGTCGAGGCTTAGGTCTAAGCCGCTTAACGTGCAAAATCAAAGTTGACTCGCACAATGAGCTGGCCGTGCCACAGCCCCCCCACCTCTACCCTCTCCCACTGTGCTTAACGAGATTTTGCGTCAAACAATGACAGCAGCAGATGGAGGAGGCTAGAGCTGGAATTGCTATCTAGATTGGGAGTTACCCATAATGCGAGTATGTGGCAGTGGCAGGGAGGGAGGAGCAGGAGCCCATGGCACATGTTTCTCATTAACGCGGCTATTATGCGCTTAGCCGTGCCAATTAGAGGCGGGGTCCTAGGTCCGAGTATTAATCATTGGGCCTTTGTTTCGACTTAATTAAACTGCAGAATGACCAAAAGAGCAGACGCTGACCAACTTACCTATCGGCAATGATGTATTGGCCGATTCGATTGACGGCCACACCGGCCAGACAATCGAATTCTCCCTCGCCGCTGCCATACTCTCCAAACTCCTTGACGAAGATGCCATTGGAGTCGAAGACCTGGACACGATGGTTGCTGGAGTCCGCAACGACGATGCTGTTGTCGGGACCGACGGCTAGGCCGCGCGGCCACGTAAAGGATCCGGGCTCGCTCCCCCGGCCCCCCAACTGGAACAGCTGCTGGCGCTTGCGCAGATACACCTGCTTAGGGATAGTACCTGCCACTCCGGTTATACCGGCTGCTGCCACTGCTGCTGCTACCGTAGGGGACGTAGGGGAGCCTAGCCCGTTTTTTGACCCATCGTCGTCGGAGGAGGCCAGCTCGTTGGCCTGCCTCAGTGGCAAGCCCAAGCTGAGGCGTCGCGACACCTCGCTGGCCGTGCTGCGACCACTGCCGCTGCTGCCAGTGCCGTGCGCATGCGAAGACGATGCCGCCGTTGAGCTGGCGGCATGCGAGTCGCGTGCGCTGCCGGCACTGCCACTGGGCGTGTCCTTGCTGCTCTTGCTGCCATACTTGTTCTTCAGGTAGCGCGCCCACGAGCTCAGTGCCTCTCCATCTTTGTTGTCCGTGGAGCTGCTGCCCAGCGCCCCAGCACGCGAGCTGCCCGCACTGCGATCGGTGATGGGCGAATTATCGCGCGACTTCAGCGCATGCGAGGAACGGCTCCGGGACAGATCACTGCTGCCATAGCCGCTGTATCTGCAAGGCCAACAATTTGATTAGTGAACCGCAGTGTCTGGGCTCAGAAGGAGTCTTCAGATGGGGTGGCTAAGAAAGGTGGAGGAAGTTCTATGGCTGATTTGAATGAGGCTTGAGGCTGTTCTACGGCGTGGAACTGCATGAGAAGTGCTGCTGGTGGTGCTGGTGGCTGTTTGCTTATGTACAAAAGTGAAATAGAGACAGCGAAGAGGGGGAAATTGTTGTTGTTTGTTGTGTGAATTTTCCAGTTAATTTTCGGTTAATTTTGTTTCTTTCTCTTCTTTCTTACCAATCAAAAAACAAAACAAAAAGTTACGTGAAAAAAAAAGAGAAATTAAATCCAAAAGAAGATAAATAAATGATCCAAAAATGTTGAATTAGTGTGCAACAGTAACGAGAACGAAAATTCGGACGTGGCACGAACAGGAACTCAACTCGAAATAAAAATCAAATAAATCAAAAATTAAATTAAAATTGTATAAAACGATTCCTGCGGGGGGACAGCACACGCACAATGAAAGCGCTCAGCGCGAACGACATATTGGGCAATATGTACGTAAATATGTCTAATATGTATATGTATATGTATATAGAGAGAGATACGTATGTACAACTGATTGCTGCAATTTCCACCTATTTACATAATTTTTGGGAGTTCTGAAAACTTTTTCTGTGAAATTTTCTTTCATATTTTGTTTTCGGATTTGCTTTGATTATATTTTTTGTTGTTGTTGGTGTGCGCACCTTGAAGCCAAGTAAGCGGATGGCGAGACCGTTGTGGGGGATACCGGCTCATCCAGATCTTCATCCTCGTTGCCAAACTGATGCGAGGAGCGACTGCGCGCCAGCCGTGTGCGGCGCTCCTTCATGGCCAGATAGCGGGAGCGGCCCGTTCCATAGCGACTGTCCGAGTCGTCGCCCGTGCCGTTGGCGTCCTCGTCGAAGGAGGCGGTGGGCGTGGATAGCGAGGGTTGCGTTACAATGGCGCTGCTCTTGCTCTTGTTTAGAAAGCGGCTTGTGTAGCTGCAAAAATGTTGATTCGGTACGGTTTTTGGTTTGGTTTTTGGTTTGGTTTGGGTTTGAGTTTGCATATTATTTCCTTTCTTATTTTTGCTTTTGTATCTGTGTTTTTGTTGTTGTTGTTGTGTCTTTTTGTTGTGAATTTGTATTTCGTCTGTGCCTTGCAACTCCTCTAATCCCATGCCAACCCCCAATACCCGTTCGCCGTGGCACAAATCCCGCGAACCGCTTAATTAACTAACTTTTAACTAGCTTAAGTCCTTCACGGTGTGCATGTGTCTCTGTGTCTCTGTGTCTGTGTCTGTGTCTCATTTATTAGGCAACAAAATTCAATTAAAATACACAGAGTGGACGCAAAAAAAAGAGGCAGGGCAACAGGCACTCGGCAGCAAAAGTTTCTAATTAAATTCACATTTCACATTATCGAAACTTGCACGAAGGTAGTTTGGCGAAAAGTTTTGGTTAAGTACAAGAAATTATGGCGTCTCAGGGGTGGCTCATGGATTCGTGTGGTTGGCTTGGGTGGGTTAAGTGGTACTTAAAGGAGTAGGCAAGGCAACAACTACAACAGCTACGACAAGTATGTTTACTCCGACAAGAAAAAACTTACTTAGTACACGTGAAAACACATAAATTGAACGCTTAAATGCTAAGGTGAGTACAATTAATAGAAACAGCAACAAAGATATGGAAAAATGTTAATGCAGGCAGCAGCAGAAGCAAAGAGAGGGAAAAAAAGCGAAGCTTAAGTGTTATGTGTGCAATCGAAGGCATCGCAACGATCATTAGCTGCTACTCCCTGTAGAACTCTAACAGACACTCCCACAAGCTTGCAGAGAAAACTATAAAAAGAAGAGAGGGGAGATAGTCTCGGACCTCAGCCTCCGCTTCTCATTAAAAACTCAAATATATGCAGTCAGAGCAAATCTCAAAATATATCAGACAAATAGCATTGGTAAATACGAGTGCTGCCCCTGAACTGTATATGGAACTGAGGGAGGCAAAGACATCAGAGGAATGATGAAGGATGAGACTGAAAGCAGATACCAATTAGTATTGTGCCATTGAGGTGTGGTGAGGTGAAAGTAGATTCTGAATGGGGTGTAGGCATGAATGGTTGGGCTGTGAGCGTTGTAATTACATTACGCAAGATTTGTTGCCGGCTCTGGGACACGGTCTAGGGGGTGTGCCTCGAAAGGATTCAATATTTGTTGTCGTGCAAAAGTAAAATTAAAGAAGTTTTGTGTCGCGCCCAAGCGCAAAGGCATTCAGGCATTGAGTGGGCCCACATTGATCCCTTTGAAAAGGGTATTGACAGATGGACAGACCAACAGACCTACAAAGGGCGACACACAGACAAAACGGCGAAAGTAAAGTTAATTTCCAGCCCTTTGAGTGGCTCTTTGGCAGGCAACATCATCATCATCAACAGCAGCAGCAGCAGCAGCAGCAGCAGCAGCAGCAGAGAGTTCTTCTAGTACCCGACAATCTGCCATTAAAAAGGAATCCTGCACTTTTCGTTTGTAACATTTAAATATTTAATCAATAAACTTAGCACTAAAGCAAAGGGTTACGGAGGTTGGTAAGGTTTGATTTGGTTAGTCGGGGGCCGAAACTCATTTGTCGTTAATGTTTAACAAATAATTGAACTATGAACTGAATAGACATATTCACATATTCACATATGTAAATGTATACGTTATGTCTGTCTGTGTGTGTGTGTGCGTGTCTGGCTAGACATCGGCAAGGCGCTTTCGGTAGCGCGCCCGGTTGGGTCTGCTTATGTACGGTATGCTAAAGGGCAGTGCACTGCAAAGATCAACACAGAGAGAGAGTGATAGAGTGCTGTGTGTAGAGAGTACCTAACTGGGGTTTGTATTTCGCTTCTTTTGCTTATGTAAAGGTTATGAACTTGACAATTACTAAACGCCACACAAGGCGCAGGAGCAACAAAATGGCCATAACCATGTTAACGACAGCACGGAGCAAATGTACAAAGCTGCAGCGGCGAGAGCACCAAAAAAAACATACAAAAAGAGAGTCGAAGAAAGCACACATTAAAAGGCAGGCAAAGACAACAAGGGGGACACTTCTGGGGAAACGAAATCCAATATGCATTTCCCATTAAAGCCAAACTGTTTATGCATAGATTATGTAAATATGTAAATATGTATGTATGTTTACTGTATCTTATTTTAATTGAAATTATGAAAATTAATTGCGCTGCAACGTTTGACGTGTAATTCAATTAGTGTTGGACCCACCAAAACAACAAAAAAACGATTAAAAAACAAATTACCGAATGGAATATTAACAGCAAATACTTGACACACACACACAAGCCATGCATGTGCATCCGTTACATAAATATTATGTATTTATGTATGTATTTATGTAATATGTATCTTTGTATCTGTGTTGCGTTTATCTTTGCATCTGTTTGTGTGTTTTCTCGTTAGCCATGCAAATTAGTTTTCGGTTATAGAAACTACAAAATGTGACGGAACTTCGGCCATCGGAGCCCAACGTTAAGGAAATACCTGCTGCCAGTGCCAGTGCCAGTGCTGCTGCTGCCATAACGATCCTCGCTCTCTGAGGCATGATGGGGCGCGGGCACGGTGCGTGTGCGGGCGGTGCTGCTGCTGCCAGCGCTGCCATAGCCGCTGCTCGAGGGCGTGGCATAGCTGCTGCGCGACGCTAGGGCGGTGTCGTCTCGGGAAGCCCGTCTGGCTTCCAGGCGATCGCGGTACGAGCTGCCGCTGGTGGAGCTGCTGCCGGCGCTGGTCGCCGCCGTTGTCGAGCTGGAGGCGCTGCTGGGCGTGGACTTGCTGGCAGTGGCAGTGCTGCTGGTGCTCGCCTTGGGCTTCGTCTCCGGCTCCGACTCGGACTCGGACTCTGAGCTGGTCTCCTCCTCGCTGCTCGAGCTGGACTCGGCCTTCTTCTTGTCGGACGTTCCGTTGGAGGCACTCGGCGGATTGCTGTGCTGCGGCAGGAAGCGGCTAACGAAGGGCTTCTTCTCCGGCACAGCGCTGCTGGCCACCGAATCCCGTGCACTCGAATGCCGCGCCGTGCTGGGCGCCTTGTGCTGACTGCTGCTGGGAGTCGCTGCCGCTGCCACTGCTGCTGCCGCCGCTGCCGCTCCCGAGCTGGCCGAGCTTTCGGTGGAGGCGCTGCTGTCCGAGCTGCCCGAACGCTGGGTCTTCTTCACGGCCGCCACTTGCGCGGAGACGGGCGGCTTCGACTGTTGGGTGGTAGGAGGAGTGGGATTTGCATCAGAGTCTGTGGCGCTGGCTGTCTGTTAGTCGAGAAGGAAAGGGGAAAGGGCGGCAAGCAACGAAACGAATGCAGATGCAGTAATAAAGAGAGAGAGAGAGAGCGATAGGGAGGGAGAGAGTTGATGAAGTTGATGGACAAGTGCAGGTGACAGGATGCGCCTCAGGCAGGACTGTGATGGGAATTCTCATGACTTTTGTCCCACATACAACGTCTAGCAATAGTTCACTCATCATTCTCGATAGTTTGTCATTTCTCTTTGATGTTTTCGTAATTGATCGAACAACCTTTTCCGATTTTGCACCCACCCAATATCCTTCGGTAAAATGCCAAAAACCAGACAAATATGCAGCTACTGTGCATATGGCTGTCTGTTCCCCCTTTAACGCGCTCACACCAGCACACCAGCACACACTCATGCATATGTGTGTATGTGTGTACATATGTATTGGGTACAATAGAGAGCTGGAAACATTGTTAAACTGACGGAAGCAGCCGCATCGCTGACAGTCGCATGATTGTGAAATATTCGCCATTGAACCCCAACTCAGGGTTGTCATTTTGTGGGCGTTTTTCCGAGGGCGGGGGGGGGGACGCAACAATGTGTGAATGAATGGTAAATGTGGATGCGGGAGAATAGAAGAAATGATATGGAAATACATGAACAACAGAAATATTTACAGCGGACATCAGAAATTGCAGAAAACAACGGCACAGCACAAAAAAATATTACAAAATGAACGAAACAATGAATAAATATTCAGAGCAAGAGACAGACACACAGAGAGAGAGAGAGAGAGAGAGCGGAGATCTGTTTTGGTTGATTTGGCCTCTGTGGTTTATTCATTTCGACAGCAATAACCAAATATATTTAGTAAGATTTAAGCAAATAAACATCACTACCACATCGCGTGACCACTTGCAGAAAAAGAAAAGAAAAACAAAATGAAAGAGTGAGACAGCTAGAGAGAGAGAGTGATGGACAAAGAGTGCGCGCGAGAGAGTTGTGAAAAAAAGTATTTGCCAAAAAGAAAATTGTTTGTAAATTGATTTTCGTTATTTTTATTTTGTTTGTAAACGTTTGCCATTGTCCGTCGCTAACTAACGTTAAGCTAAAAAGGATTGTTAATCTACTAACATAAAAAATATACAAATATATATTTCTACATACACATGTACATACTCGTATGTAGATGCTATGTATAATTATGAATGTCTGCTACAATATTGTACAATGGACGTGTCCTGATGTCCGCGAGAGGTTTTTGGGTCGCAACTTTTAGAATTTTCATTGGAACTTTTCAGGCAAAGTGTGTGACCCAAAACAGCATTAAATGAGAGACAATAAAATGAGGACACGAATACAACGAAAAATGAGTAAAGAAATACAACGAAAAGTGGGAAAACAATTAAGTAAATAAACAGCACAAATAAAATAAAATAAATCAAATACACTTGAACCAAAAATCAAACAAAAAACAAGAAAATAATTAACAGAAAAAGAGGGTGGGGCGGGTAAACAATTCATGGAAAATGTGTGTTTGGTTAAAAGGGAAATATTGGTAAGATTAACAGTAAGAGTAACGGTAACAGTTGACGGTTAAGTTTTGCTCTCTCTCTTTCTGTCTCGCTTCGAGCGATGCGACAAACACACTTACGGGAGCGCAGGGGGAAGTGTGAACGATTGGGGCACAAATAAAGAACGAAGCACACATGGCGTATACGCAATTAAGACTTTAATATTTTCTTTTGGGGTTTTGGGTGGTTGTTGTGCAAACAGGGAAAATACTGGGCCGGAGAACAGTGACAGCGAGCGAGACGATCTATCAAATGTTTTCTCATGTATCTCCCTCATCCTCCTCCTCCTCCTCCTCCTCGTCATCGGTCACTTCTATCTCCTCTTCGGTGTACTCATCCGAGTCCTCTTCCTCACTCTTCTGCTCTGCTGCTATCTCTGTCTGCTCTTGTTCGGGCTGACTGCTAATCACTGCTGCACTTTCGTGGTCTTTGTTGGAAAGCTCGCCCTGTGGCGGCAGGACATTGATCTCGGGCACCTGCCCCAGCTGGGGCACAGACTCCGCTTCGTCGCTGCTCTCGGTGACTGTTACTTCCTCGTACTCCGAAGAATCCTCCTCGGACTCGTCCTCCGCCCCTCCTACTACTACTGCCTCTGCCTCATTGCCTGGCTCTTCCTCTGCCTCGCTGTCACTGCCACTGGCCACGCCTTCTTCTTCTGTATTTGCCTCATTCACACTTACCTCGGCTCGCGTCGCTGCTGTCGCTGTACGCACTGGAGATGATGCCGCCGCCTGATTGGAGCCGCTGCCATCGCTATCCTCGCCGCCGCGTGTCGTCTTGAGGCTCGCCAGCCGCTCGCTGGTGGGTCGCTGCTCCGGAACAGCCTCACTGCTCGAGGTGGCCGCTCCCGCGGCTCCAGCAGTCACACTCTTACGCTTCTGACGTGCCAGCTCATCCTCGTCTGCGGCAGCTGCCGATTGCTTCTGCTGTTGGCGCTGCATGGCCGCCTTTTGGTTCTGGATGGCGGCCTGAACGGCTGCCTGAGCCGCACAGGCGGCATCCGACTTCTTGTCGGACTTCTTCTCCTTGCCAATGTCGGCGAGGCGCTGCACGACGCGGGAGCAGTCGCTCAGGCGAATGATGCCGCTCAGCTGACCGCGCGACACATCCTCGCTGTCGAGGACGCGCTCCTTGCGCTCCTTAAGCTCCTGCTGGCGCTGCTGCTGCTGCTGTTCCGTGTCCGAGTCGTCGTTCTGGTGTGAGCGCACAAAGCGTGATCGGAAGCGGGAGGACTTGCCCGTCCGTCCCCCAGTGGACTCATTCTCGTAATCGTTCTCGTAGTCATAGTCCGAGCGGCCGTAGCGGCTACCCTCGCCATAGCGATCGCTGTTGGCGGTGGTGGCACTGCGCTGTGGCCGCTCCCCGAACTTCCTGCCGCCGAGCACGGGCTCGTCGTTGTAGCCACCGCGCTCCTCCTGCTGCCGGAACTGCGTGGCCAGCCGATGGTCGCTCTTGGAGCGCATCAGGCCGGGCTGCAGGCCGCTGGGCGGTGCCAGATGGGAGCTGCTCACCGAGCCGCCCGGCGTCGAGTGTGGCGCAATGTTGAGGTCCCCGAAGGTGGCCAAGTTCATCACCAGCTGATTGGGATCAATGGAGACGAGGAATCGCACGCGACGACTGTAGTCGTTGTTCTCGTACTCAAAGTGCCGCAGGAACTCGACGGTCTTCAGGAAGATCTCCTTGGTGTCCATCAGCTCGCAGTCGTCCCACTCGACCGTCTCGTTCATGTACTTGTCGACAATGTCACAGTTGCTGCCGATGTTCGTGATCTCCAGATCGAGATTCTCCTTGAGCGTTGTGAGATTGCGCAGCTCCACGGCCAGATAACGATCGATTTCGCCCTTCAGCTGGTCCGAGCGATCCTTGATGGCCTTCGTGATGCGCTGATAGATCTCGTCAATCTCCTCCGTCACGCTGATGGCGTTCGTTTGCAGGCTCATCGTATTCTTCTCAATGATGGCCAGAGAGTCCTGCAGTCGATGCAAGCTGCGACGGATCTGGATCAGACATGCAATGGCTTGAGCAGGAGCCAAATTGGAGATGTAGTGGGCCACTCACCTGTGAGTTGAAGCGCGTTATCTCACGTCGCAGTATGTCCATGTGGGCGCTCTTGCAGTCCTCGCAAATCTTTTTCTCGCAGTGCGCACAATGCGACAGATAGGCCTTCTCCGAACAGACGCCACAACGTTCCATGATCTGACCTGTGAACAGAGAAAGAGGCAATTATTAATCAGGCTCTGCCCATGTGGCTGCCCGTTTCAGTCCCAAAAATACAAATGACAGACCCCCCCCCCCCCCCCAAATGACTTTCTGCCTGTGTGGAGCTCATCAATTTGCACTCTTGGCAACAAAGTAAAGACTTGACAGACGACTACTAATGTGATTTCGAGAGCAAGAAATCAACTGCAACTGCAACTGCAACTGCAAGTGCAACCTAAGCGACTGCCATACACTACCCAAAGAGGAGAGAGACAATTTGCTGTAGAAGTAACTGCCAGCAATGCAGCAGCAAGGAAAAGTTATGTGAGCATGTCCACATTGTCATTTGAGCAAGGGTATGGAGCAGCTTCCCTTTCTCCGGCACATCCTTTGGCAAGACAGTCCTCGGTTGCCAATGCAAATAACGAGCCGCACTCAGGGTGCGGCAACAATGCCAACATTGCTGAGGCATCGACAGCGTAAACTTTTTCTGCATCAATTGCTGGCATTGGCAAATGCCTGATGATGTACACTCCACTCAGCACACTCCGCAAAAGATTTGCCAGCTCTTGGCAATAACTTGGGACACCGGGTGGGTAGAGAGAGGGAGCTGCCTGGCTGCCAATAGTTGGCTTTCTGCATTTTCCTGTGCAATCATATGGAAAAGTGAATCTACACAAAGTTCCACATGCAAGTCGTGCTCGTTGTCGTATCCATAACACGAAAACGAGATGCTCCAAAAAAAGTCAAAGGGATTTCCACACATTTGCATAGTCAGGACACAAAAAAAAAAACGAACCAAAATGTTTGTCTTTGTCTTTGCCTTATTAACTCTGGCGCTCATCCTCGTACTTGCTTGCTGCTGATTGCAGTTGAGAAGTTGGCAATCCATTTGCATATTTGAAGCAATTCAACAACTATCAGACCTTTCTCCACTTGCCACTGATAGTCATGCTGACAGCACTTTGTGATTCGCAAAATGCAAATTGCTCAAACAAAATCAAAACAATTTTGGCTTTTGCTTAGTTTTAATTGCTGTCAGTTGTCCGTCCGTTTGGCTTTTTAATTGGAAAAAACCATAATGGCGAATGGCATTTGTTGCCCAATTTATTGCTTTTCGATTTCTTTTGTTGCCTTGCCATCATTGGAATTTAATTAAAGTTACAAAACCCGATTACAGGGCAGTATTTTTATTTAATTTTTATTAATAACATTCCATGTATTCCGCTTCTCCGTTTTGCTGATTTCTAATTACTGATTTTCCGATTTCTGATTTTCTGATTTTCTGATTTTCTGATTTCTGCACTCAAAGGATTCAGTTTTATTGCATACAAATATTTTCGCTCGAACAGAGCAAAATTGCACTTTGGAATTTAGCCTTTTAGTTATTAAATAACGGGCGGGGAAATGCCGAAAGCCCTTCAGCTGGTTTTTCCTCTCTATTTTTCCAACTCTTTTCCAAGAACTAGCAACATGAAATTACATTTTTGGCTTACCTGATGTCGGATCGGGAAGCTCTCCAGTGATTTCGATATGAAGCTCCAGGAAACGCTGCAGCGTGACGTTCGTCGGAAATGCCTGCACGCCATTGTAGGGTATGCGATGTTCGGCACGACATTCTGGGCACTTTACCTAGAAAATATTCGCGAATATTGTTGGGTTTTAGCACATCAAACTGGCAATCTCTGTCCTTTACTGACTGCTTAAAGCTGTTCGCAACTTTAAAAACCTTTCACACATTTTCTTTTGCAGCTTGTGAAGGCATCTTGAGTGCGTTTTCATCTTCATCTCCTGTCAGCCTTTGCGTAAACCACAAAAATCAATCTCTCTTTGCGGCTTTTCCAATTTACATGACAGTTAGTGCAGCTCTGTGGCCCCCTGTCTCTCTCTCTATGTATGTGTACGTGTAGATGTAGTTGTAGATGTAGATGTATATGTACATGTATATTTATACCGAGTAGGGCCAACACAATGAAACTGCTTACCAATTATTTGCGTGGCGCTGGCTGCGAGCCAAAAAAAAAAAGCAGCATTTATAAATACACGCAGACAGAGGCTATAAGACTATAAGTAGCGCAGTACACGGCAGCTAGCTAGCTGTATGTACGAGCTATACGTATACATATACATCTACATATTTGCATACATATCTGCATACAAATAATTTCGTTGCTTTCTGTATAATTTTTCAACGCGAGATCTACGCAAATGCGCCTCAAAAAAAAAAAAAAAAAAAAAAACATATTCGGGGGCGTCTTGTTGGGCGCTTTTCATTTCCCAGTTTCATCTGATTTTTGCTCATGAGATTCTTGTAGTTAAGCGGTGACGTCGGTGGCAGGCATTAACCAAATTGCCACAGATACATGCCACACACACACACACACGCATCTACCCATTTGAATGATGATTAATGCTAATGTTGATAATGTGCGCTTACCTGTCGTCTCACATAGTCCACCAGTCCCTCCATGCAGGGCTCCATGCAGAAGGAGTGCTGACATGGCAGCAGCTTCGGTATGCGATACCTGTCCAGGCAGACGCAGCACGTCAACAGCTGCTCAAATTGCTCCATGGCTGCTCACTGCTGGAAGGGCAAAGGAAAAACGACAGCGAAAGAATCATTAGTCCTTGATTCGATTAGAATACCACAAAGAGGCTGCTGTCAATTTGATATTCATATCATTATAAATTCACATTGAGGACAGCAGTGCAACCCCTGCTTAAGCTCATCACAAGACAGGCAGGGAGACAGGCAGTCCCACCAGCTGTCAGTCGGTAAGCTCCAGCTCCAAAGTACAGGCAACAAAAAAGAATCCGAAGAGTCATACAATAAATTGACCATTTCGTTGCCGTAAGTCGCCCACTGAAAATGGAAAGGAGAAGCTTCATTTGGCTCTGCCAAAATACACTAAGCCACAAATCTGCTTATGGGGTTGTGCTTCATTAAAAGCGGCTCCGACAAGTTTATTAACAAGATATTTTAGCTGTGACTTTGTGACCTGCCCGCAGCGAACTCATTGCCATGGCTACGGATTTTCCATGTTTCCCAGCTGCTTACAGTCTGCAGCCTTAAATCATTCCATGCAAGCTGCACACAGTTACAGTGATATTTGGCTATATTTTATATGCATTTTAGTGCCTTTTAGTGTAGGCCACAAATCTGACAGAAGCAACCAATTTGCCTTCTTCAAGCTCTTAAATGCACTTTCTTGTAACGCCTGCAGGCCGCGGCAATTGCTGCTCATATTAAAAATAGGGGCAATATTGCCTGCGTTGAGTTTTTAATAATAAAAATGACACACATTTCTTATGAACGACAGCGTATATGTCCGTATATTCGTATATTGTATAAATAAAAATGCGATTTCGCGATATGCATCGCGTATACGCGTCGCGGTACCAAACCAGTGCGCACTTCCTGCTCGTAAATATACGTGTGTGTGTGTGAATACATATGTGTGCGTGTGTGGTGTGTGGCCTGATACGGGTATTATTATGGAAGCATCTCCTTTTCCATTTACTCGCGTGTGTCGTGTGCTCATGTCCATGGCAGCCGCCGCTAATTGTCGAGCGACTGTTGGCCATTATTGTTGCATGTTTTCGGGGCCCATGCAGATATTTAAAGCATCAATTTAATGCGGCCAAAAGTTCACAATGTATGAACCCGAAACTTATAGAAAAACATCCACATCCATGCATATCTGACATATGCGAAAGCTGTGCAATTAACTGGAAAATACGCTTAAAATCAAATTGAATAGAAATTTTGTCGCTCGCTCAAATTGTGCGTACACTAGAGCTGGTCCTGAATAGTGGCTGGAGTCTGGCAGGATGGCGTGGGGCTGTGTGTGTGTGTGTGTGTGTGGCGAAACTAATTTAGCAATTGCATTTGTGAATGGCCGTTGAAAGGATTAAACTGAATAGAGAGCAGAGCAGAGCAGAGCAGAGCAGCGCAGCACTCTTTCCGCTGCACACTCCTGCTTTTAGTTACATTTTTGGGTGGTTGCCACAGCTATGAAGGGAATCCGTAGCAGGTCATTTGGCCATTGAAAAAGCGGCAAGGACTCGCTCCGTGTATGCCCGTGCCCGTACAAGTGTGCAAAATATCTGATTGAATTCCATACAAAACTGAAATGCTTTTAATTCGCAGCAAATGAAGCGTAAGGATGACGGCGGCTAACCGCACTGAATAAATGAAAAACGAATAGTTTTAAACTGTGGGCAGGGGCTTTGCTTTGTTTTCACTATTGGCGAGAGATTGATGGCGACACACAAGAGATATTCATTCATTAGCCTTGAGTGTGGGTTAAAATTAAGCGTCGAGCTATGTGAAGAGCATTAAACGGCGCACAGGAAACGGAAATGCGGCAAAACACTTGACCCTCAACCAATTGGCATGGCTAACAAAAACAAAAACAGAGACAGGGACAGAGACAGATACACCGAAATGGGTCAAACTCAAGTGACAGGCAGTGGACAGACAGAGAGCCATCATCAGCAGCATTGAACATTGAAATCAACACAAATAAATTGAAATGAAAGTCGTTGAAATTTGGGTCACACACTAACCAAACCGCAGCGAAAGTCCAGCCAAAAAGCGCCCACAAAAAAAACTCACCAATAGAGAATGGGAAAACTTGCTGGTAGCTGCTGCTGCTGCTGCGTCTGCGTCTGCGTCTGCTCGAAGGCAATCATAAAATGCAATTGGTTTATCTTTTTCTTTTTTTTTTTTTTGTTATGGCAAACTCAGTCGCGGGCAAACTCTCGTTGCCGGTTTCGGGGGCACTTTTGATTAAGTTTGTGTGAATTATATTTGCTTTACTTTCGATAATAAATATGTCTACGTACACGCGCACACATACAAATTTAATTTAAGTTTTTATTTAATATTTTTCTATTTTTTTTATTTGATTTTTTTTCTCGGGCCGCCACGCGCCTTTGTAGAATTCAATTGGAAATGTAAAAAGCGACTGAAGGCAAGTGAAAATGGCCAAGCAAGCACAACAAGAGCCAGAGTCTATAACATTTTAAATATATACAAATCTTCTCTCACTCGCTCGCTCTCTCTCTCTCTCTCTCCCTCGCTGTATGTATCCCTAAACGAGAGCGAGCGAGAAAAGCAAAACAAAATGCGCGATCGTCAGAGCAACGCAAAAATATACATCGAAAATATATATGCACACAGATATTCTTGGCAGCAGTCTTGGCCTGCCTTCGTGTGTGTATCTACGCATATGTAGCTCCCATTAGGAGCTGTTGGAAGTTGCAGCTAAAGTTCTCTTTTCAATTTGCTGCTAAATGTATCCTAATCTGTGTACAGACAGACACCAACGCCAGTTGACGTCATCAATTGAATTTGTTTGAGTGTGTATTAATGTGGCCACACGCCGGCATTTTTTGTTTCATTTATCCCATGGCTGCTATTTGCGTCTGTATCTCGCTGTAACAGCGCCCTAAAAATAAACTTCATTGAAAATTGGAGCGAGCATTGGGTCGGAGAGAAGCGGCATTCGCCTCTCGGCATTCCACGCACTAATCCCACGAGCTGGCCAATTGCAAAGTTTTCACTTTACGCCGAAAAAAGCAGCTACTTTGGGGCACAATTGTTGCTGCTGCAGCTCAAGGTCGAGACTTTTGTCACGACTCCCGCTGGCAGTCTCCCTTTTGGGAGTGGAAATGTTTGCCTAAAAATAGATGAGCGCCAACCCGGCATGCAGTGACTGCAGACTGCATTGGGGGGGTTTCCAAAGATATAAATAGCCGGAGCAGACAGTGCACACTAAGATAAAATTTCACGAAGTGAAAACTAAACTCCAATGAGCACACAAATATTACTTACATTTTGTGCTCTTTTGCTGCTTTTCTTTTGCTCCGAAAGGGGTTTCGGCTTCCGGCTAAAGGTATCCGAGGCGCCCTTGGGCGGGGCCCTGCTCTTTGGCTGTTAGCTCTGCTGCCTGCCAAAAGAAAGACAAAAACAGAGAGTGAGTAAGAGTGAGAGTGAGAAGAGTGCCAAAAAATAGAGAGAGTAAGTGGAAGCAAATTAAAGCGATTGACAGTGCCAAATTTGATGATTAATCGACGGAGAACTTGAACAGGAAACGACGCTGAATGATCAGCGGCATTTGGTCAATCCTTTATTCAATACAGAGACCGAGCATAGCTCACCTGTGCCACAGTTTGATGCCAACTTAATTACATTGCCACAAAGCGAAGCGGCCACAGCAGCAGCCACCACAGAGAGCTGTCAACGAATGAAGTTGTGAATGTGCTCAAAGCATTGTGCACTGTGAGAGATAAGCGCACTGCCCGGACTGCACCTTGCAACATGTCCCAGGTTAATGCACACAAACGACCAATCAGCATTGGGGCAGCTGTTGCGCTGCCACAGATAAAATTAATTAAGCCTCAAGCAGCGGCGTTCAACTAAGGGAAATATGAACAGGAGGACACTGTGGCACAACAATGTGTCAATGAGGGGTCAAACACATGAATTTCTCAGCAATTATTTAATGCAAGCGAGTTGCTCTGAGCAGTGTCCAAAGAACAATTGAATTCTCTTTGTTTCTATGTCAATTTAATCGGAAAGTTGCACCGGAAGCCGGGCAGCAGCGACCTTGAACTTCAGAGAGAAAGAGAGCGAAAGTGGAATGAAGGAAGCGCGTGGAATGGTCACACTGGCCAAGAAAACACACACAAAAAGCGTTGCCTGCTTTTTGGCTAACAGGGAAAATACGTACACACCGGGAGACAAACGATGCATAAATATTTTCCATTTTCCATTTTCCATTTGTTTTTTTTCTTACCACTCGGAACGAGAGAAATGAAATGCAATGGGCAGGCAGGCAGGCAGGCAGTTTGCTTGCTGCACGTAAAAATATACTGAAAACAAATCAAAAAAAAAAAGGGGCGAAAATGAAAAATGTGAAAAACAAAAGGGAGAATGTTGTGCGGGAAAATCGCAACAGAAGAAAAGCAAAACAAGACAAGCAAAGATAAGAGGGACAGAGAGAGAAACAAACACAAAACAGCAAACAGCCAGCGCAAAATAGACACAGAAAAAGCTCTGAAAATGTCTCTGATTGAATCGAACTATAAATAAGGCAACAACGCGGCGTATGAGCAATGTGCTGCCGCTTGCTGCCTATGTGTGGGCCGATCTTTATACATTATATGTGTTGTCGAACCTAATAAACTTCTAGATAGTGTTGAAAATTATGAAAATAATTGTGACAGCCTCTCACGCATGTGGGCGAATGCCAGGTGACATTTTCACGGCTGTCTTTCGTTCACACACACGCACACACACACACACTCTCTGACTCTCTCTCTCTCTCTGTCTCTGTCTCTGTCTCATTCCTCTTTGGTTTTCACTCTCTTTTTGGCACTCGTTTTTTACATAATCAGCAGCAAACGTTCATTGAAATGCTGCTCCATAAATGGTTTGGGGCCTCAGGAATCACACCTGAATGCTGCTTCCCACACTCACTTGATTTTTGCACTGCAATCTGTGGATGTTTCTAGTAACTTTCGCAAATTGATTCGCATGCCTCAGCGGCACTCACTCCTTTCACTTTGCAAACGATTTTTGACTAGCAAAAAAGACACTCGCACTTCGATTAGGAACTTTCTTTAAGACCAGACACCAGCTCTCCCTCCACATATATGTCTTCGATATTTATGTATATATATCTATGTAGTATATATAGAGCTGTATCGAATTGGGGTATATATAAATTTATATCTATATTATCGGCGTATCGGTTCGTTCACGTCCACGTCCACGTCCAATCGCGAGCGTGCCACAAATGAAAATGAAATGTTTTCATCGCCTCTGCGATGGCTCTGCTGGCAAAAGCGATCAGCCGTTCTTGAGGTGAAATTTTATAAATATAAACCTGCAGAACACAACGGCAAACACATAGCAAATATTTCTGTGTCTTCTGCCCACTTTCACAGCAGATCATCTCTGCTGTTCACCCGACCCCAACGGGAACCTGTGTGGAAATATCTCTATAGACTTGTATTCTCTTTTGTTGCAGTCACAAACAATAATTGTGAAAACATTGCAAAATGTCGCGTATAAGGTGCAAGAAAATATGTGGAATGCAGCGCTCATTACTTGCTATTGTTCGTGGCTTATTCCGCAGTTACCGACACCCATGGAAATCTTTTCTCGTTTCCTCACGGTCCAGTCCAGCGGCCCACGCACTCTCCTCCACGCATGAATCATTTGGAGCAGTTTTCATAAATATTTATAGAAATGGAAGGCATTTTATTGCGGGGCTAACTAAATTGATGTGCTAACAGATACATGTTGAGGCTTATAATGCTGCCCAAATTGAATGCCAATTGGCAGAGGTAAAGGATAAAAGGAACTAAAAAAAAAAAATGATATTTATGAAAACGAAAATAAAAGCCTGGGCAGAGGAAGAATATTGCTGTTGTAAACCATTTATGATTGCATTAAATTGCCATGCTAGCTCATAAATATATATCGAAGTATATTTGAATATTTCCTGCAACAATTTCTGCTACTTTTGGGGGACTGCCTGGTCTGGCTGGTCTTTTGTCTGGTCATTCGCATGTTGCCACTGACAGGCGACTGCCAATCATAACATGATGAATCGAGTATGTGGCTCAACGATTTTGTCCGCCAATAGACAACAGAGCAGGCAGGCAGGCAGGCACCCCGAAAGATGTCAGCAAGATGAAGCTGTTGATGGACTCTAGGTCAGCGAGAGAGAGGAACAGCCTCGCAGCTTTCGTAGCATTCCCATTTGCCACTTTGACAACGCTCAGCGGTCTCTTTGTGCCGAGTTGGAGGCTTTCATTGGAATTGAAATTGCGTTTTCAGAGCGCTCCTGCAACCGTTTGCCAAATGCGGCAATTGTCCCTCAACGCGATGACCAGCACCATTAGTAGATGCTTCGCATTGCAACTTTGAGAGGCAATCATTAGCCCCGAAGCACGATTAATTACAATTGATGGATGGCCAATTGACAGATGGCATAACGAGCGAGCATCAAGCCTCAAGCACCACCTACAGATGGATATGCAAGGAGACAGAGAGACAAGGAGCTGGACGAGCTGGAGAGCCACTCGGCATTGTCGGCCGCGCCTGGGCTAATTTTCTCAAGGAAGCTCAAAGGAGGAGAGGCAGCTGGCCAATACACAAGTTTTCGGTACAACGTGCTAAAGTGGCAATAATAAAGAATTAGCAAAACAATTTCAAGCATTAGACAGCAGCCACAACTTACTGAGAGAGAGAGCGAGAGAGAGAGAGAGAGGGTGGACACAAGAGTAAGGGAATGCGAACTTTAAGATGAAAAAACTAAGGATAAACTGTGACATTGATAAACCATTTTGTTAGCGATTAAAAATACAATTAAGTAAAAGTTCCTCAAAGTATATTTGAACAGTTTTTGCTGCACAGTTGAAGGATATTCCCTGCTACTTGCTTTAGCTATTGACAACTCCTTGAGCACATCTCTCTCTCTCTCTCTCTGGAGGCAGACACCACCAACTGGGGGCAGGACAAACTATTGCCCGTCTGACAAATGACGTTAAGCACATAATAACCAATTTCTCTAAATACGTTCATAATTATGAACGTCTCTACACACACACACAAGGCACACACACACACACAAGTAAGTGTTTTTCTTGTGTCTTGTTGTTGGCCACTTCATTTGGGCGCGTTTGTTCTCGCGAACTTGGTCGGAGTGCCTTCAGTGAAAGTGAGAGTGAAAGTGAAAGCAAGAGCGGGATTTCGTGGGGTTTCTGGGCGTTTCTGGGGGCTTCTGGGGGGGGGGGCAAGGATTTATCGTAATTAGGCATGCATGAGCATATGCTGTCGTCTAAGCTCAAGGATGACTCTGCCTGCCTCCTCTGCGCCGAGCTCCTATGCAAACACAGACGGGGGCCAAACACTGCCAAACGAGAGCGAAAGGGATGCCCACACTGTACATAATTAATTGTGCTGCTGCCGCTGTTCTGCTGTTGTTGTTGTCTGACACGCGGGCGCCTCTAAGCAGGCAACACGCTCTTTTTTTTGGGCCAACAAACGTTGCGCCATAATTGATTGCCGCCTCAGGCGCGTCACAGCCCAAAGCTAAAGCCAAAGTCAGTGTGTGTGTGTGTGTGTGGGAGCTACAAGTATTTTTAAATGAATATTTCTTTAATTAGTTCGCTGCTGGCGTTGCCGCTGCCGCTGCCGTTTGCTGCGGCTCAAAAAGGATCTCTCTTTGCCAGCCGAAAAACGCAAACCACAAAAGACTTGACCGCAAATAATACTGCACCAAATGCTGCCAAACCGCACACTCACACCCACACACACACACACACACACACACGCTGAAAATTGTCTTAAATTAACATTAGCAACATTTGGAGCTGCCATTAAGACGGTCGGTCGGTCGGTCGGTCGGTCGCCTGGCAGCCAGAATTCCCCTTTTGGGGCTGGAACTTCGTTCAATGTCGCCGGGCAGAGTCGCTCCCATAAAAGACGTTCAAGGACGGAACCTAAGCAAACTAACCATCAACCTTAGGACCAAGAATGGCAGTCACTTTCATTACCTGCCCGCCAGTCAAATTAGCAAGAGGCTAAAACATTACGTATACGCTGGCAGGGCACGTCGCACGTGTTCATAACCCCTTTTGTCGCTTATGAAACAAAACGTCAAATGTTTTGTGTAATGGCGGACATTAACATTCAACCTTGAAGCACAAATTACCGGATTCTTGTCACCTTTGCGCGCACATAACAGATCCAAAGGAACAGCAAAGAGCAGCAAGGAACAGCAGGGAACATGGCAGCTGCCATTGAGGGCCAGGGAAAACGTCAGAAAAGTTGTGTGTTTTGCCTCAACTTTCTACCTCAGCAGGCGGTCGTCGGTCGGGTGCCATAAAAAAAAATGCTGTGGAGCAGCAGCAGCAGCGGCTGTGAAACATATGCGACACTCCCGGAGGCGCTACACTCTTGTAATGATAAGAGTGTGGCAAACAGCAGCAGCAACGTGGCATCCTGGCAGCACCGCAGCATGACGTCGTCGACGCCTTGTGATAAATAGCTTGATTTAAGCAAAAGTCGCGGGTGTAGATTTATGACACACGCATTTTCCACCCAGCCAGCACAACACACACCGAATGAAAGTGAAAAGTCTAAGGCTAAGGCAGCTTCAAAAGAAAACGCAAAGCAGCAAATGTCATCATGCAACAGGCTGCGTATAGGTAGAATTATGATTTATGACAATGAAAATGGAATATCATACTGATTATTGATATTAATTCGATGTCTCTTTCGCTTTGCCTGTTATTTACGCCCTTTTTTCAATTAAAAACTTGCACACTTTGAATGTTAATTAAAGAAAAACATATTAATTTTCGTCTGATTACTTTTAAAGTTTCCAAATAAAAATAAACTGTTGGCCATGTCTGTGAATTAATTACACGAAGAATTCAATATGAAACATAAACTTTTCAACTATAAATTTAAGTATAAATATCTGCTGCACCTTCTGGCTCGATTTATTGCCCAATTTGTGTGCTTCGAAATCAGAGCACTTGCACCATTTGATGGCCTTAATTGACCGACTATGCATCCTGCATAGATGCAGCATTTATTTCCACTGCTAGATGGCATTACCATTTCCGGGAAACTCTCTAAAACTGCAAGTACACACACGACCATGTGTGTGTGTGTGAAATTTATTGGGAAAAAGTTGGCCACACAATTTATAACTCGACAATTGTGGCAGTGCGTAGATTGTGCCACTGCTCCGGGCTGGGCTGAGTAAAGTTTTGATTGAACATTTTAGAGCGAGGCGATACCGCCGCGTATCGGTTGGGTTGGGGTATCGGGTTAGCGTCAGGGCTTCAGTCTCTCTCTCTCTCTCTGTGCGTTGGCATTCCCCGAAGAAGCTGTGCTGCCGTGCTGCTGTGTGCTAAGCTGCTTACGCCTTTGCCGTCATGGAGAAGCAACCTCAACAATTTCAACATCCGGCTTCCGTTGCAGTGTAATGGAAACTCAAGGCAGGACTTGCCGCCATGCTGTGCCAACATATTAAAGTTGGCAAATGCCGAAAGCAGCAGCAGCAGCAGCGCTAGAAACAGAGCCGGAACCTCAAAGAGGAAGGATGCTGGCTGGCATCCAAAGGAGCTGGCGCAACTGGCAAAGTGTCGCTTGGGTTGGCGGAAATCTAAGGCAGAAATAAAGAGCGAAAGTGACACATTGTGCAGCTGGATATCGAAAGGGATCAGGTATACGCTGCTCACTGAAGGATAAATGGATTGTCCGGATTTATCCTGGGTAGAGAATGGGTCAGGTGGCTGGCACCCACATAAATCAGAGCCAAAAGCAAACCCAGAACCCAAACCATTTTGGGTTAAATGCGCTCTCATAACTGCCGGCTATCATTCAGCGGATGCGTCCCTTGATTAATTGCTCACTGCGGCGAATGTGGAAATTATTGTAATTCCTCCCAGCCGCCTTGCGCATAATTTGAGATAAGAACCCGAAACGAATCCCAAGCTGGATCTCGGAACTCTCAAACATTTATGCGAGATAATGCCAACGGTCGGGGGAGGGAGGGCTATGCCAATATATGAATATTTTATGCGAAGCGCGCGAATCATTTTCATGAAAATCACATAAAGGGACGAGGCTGTTGGGCGCCAGCGGAGGTAACGGTGCGTATACTTGATGGTCGAAACGTTTAATTCAAGCCTCCGCAGCCGCAGCCGCAGCCACAAACTTAAATTGTGGCAAAGGCCAACTATTGCCTGACCCCACCACACCCCTTTCCCGGTCCACGCTGACGCAACATCTTAAAATGCAATGCAAACCGACGGGAAGAAAAGTTTTTGAAACGTTTTCCTCCCTTTTCTTCGTTTTTCTTGGGCGAATACGTTAGCCGGGGTGTCTGTCAAGTGGCTCAGAAAAGTGCTGGAGCTGCAGGGAAAGGCACTGTTACTGGGATTGGTATTGGGACTGAGATAGAGATTGAGATTGAGAGACTGTGCAAGCCGAGCCAAGTCAGAAAGTCAAATAAAAAGTTTTACGTCAACATTACGCAAATTAGTTTGTCAGCCGAGCAAAAAGCAAATGCAGCCAACAAAACCCCTAATGACATTTAGACTAAAGGAAAAGCCAGCCAGCCAGCTTACGCAGTGAGCGACGATGTAGAGTCCTGTGCCCCTAGCCCTGCCATATATCTGCATTGCACGCTGGCTTCATCGGCTCCTCCATTAATGTCTCAAGTTTCCCTGGCCCCAGCTCCTAATCCTGATTGCGTCTTCATTCGATATGCATTAATGCTCCTTTGTGCCGACTTGTGAAATCATAAAATCAAATATGCATTGAATTACCGTGTACGGCAGGACAATTATATTATACCTTCGGCCAAAAAGGGAGCAGAAACCAAACGAACAAAACGAACAAAAAAAGGAATATTTAACTCAATTTGCTGGCCCTAAATTTGGTACCACAAGCAGCTGTACCCACCTGGCGTCCGCCCCCGCACTCAGTCCCATTCCCAGCCCTTAAAACCCTAAATCGGCCGCATTTTTCACTCAACATTTTGCTGCCATCATTTTATACACTACACAGAGGGTAGCATGGGTTTTCCGCGCTTAGTTGCAACTTGTTACTGCAACAATCGACAGAAATATGAATGCCCTTTAAACCATCGTTAGCCAGCGAATGCCTAAAAGCTTTTGCGAGTAATCGCACAACTTTTAACAGTATTCAAATAAATCATCCAAAACATTAATGAATGCATTTTAGTGAGCTGCAAGTAAAAATGAGTCTCAGAATTCCACACATTTATGGCATTCAGTTGTAGCAATTGCTAAACATAAATTTCTACTCTTTTTTCACTTTAAAAATGATACAATAATTCTTCATTAGTTGCAGTTTATTTGTCTGTTATTCAAAAGGTACATTTCAATTAATTTCTTCATATTTTTTAGCTCTCCAAATTTGTGTGTCAAATTACAAATAATTTTGTCATATTTTTTTTTAGCTGCCATTTGCTGCTAATTTTACAAATCAAAAAAAGTGCACAACTAAAATGTTTTCTGTGTGTGTGAATCCTTAGCAAAAATGGAAAGTGTATCTGCACATTGTATCAGCTGGCTGACAGTCGCTGGCTTATTTGTATGTTGTTCAAATTTTTGCTGTAATATTTTTTGCAGCTCTCGTTTATGCGCAAAAGTGCGTGTAATTCAATTTTTCATGCGCTGCCAACCAGCCATGTGACATGGGCGGGTTTGGGGCGTGGAGCTACCTTTTTTTTGTATTCTCCAACAAAAATTAAGACAAAGGACCGTGCAGGCAAATATGCGTTAAAGGCATATTTGGCACACCGTTTGGCGGTCCCTTTTTTTTATTTATTGATGGGGCAGGCAATCCGTTTTATCAGTTATCCAATGTCGTGTCATCGAGGCCAGTTCGGGCAGGGACGTTTATCAATTTTTGATGCCAGTCGAACCCTTTTAATGATGAGGAATTGGATTGGTTGGTTGGCCTCATTGATTGGTGGGCACTCATCTTATATGGCTGGGGCTATTGTGTCTGTCTTTAGTGTGTTTGTGTGCTAATGAAATGTAATTAAAACTAGGTTCAATTAGGCTCCCATTCGAACCTAAGGCGGTGCCATGCCATAATTATGGAGAGCGAAATCAAAGGAATTTCTGCGCCGACGTCTGCCCGCTGAAGCTGGTCCTAATTGAGCAAGGAAGGCCGAGTGTGCCCGGTTTCGACGCGCCCGATCGCGAAGACGATTCTGGGTCATTTCCAGAATGCTCCTGGAGATAGCCTCCTCCAGTGCAGCATCCCCAAATGCATTGTTTTGACGATTCGGGGAAAGTGGCGAAGGCTGCACTGGCGGCTGCTGTGATGTCGTCGGTTGCTGCTGTAATGTCGGCGGCTGCTGAGGCTGCTGCTGCGGCTGCTGCTGCTGCTGCGACTCTACCATCTGGGCACGGCCGACAATCATGGCTTGCGAAATGTCAATCAGCGCCGAAACATTGTACCGCTTGTTCACAATCAACTCATCGATGGCACAACTATCCTCCGCCTCGAGCTCCATGTCTGCCTCGAAGCTGAGACAATCATCGTTGTCCATGCGAGCGGCAAACTGCACAAAGTTATGCAGCCCCGCCATGGCCTGCTGTCGTTTCAGTGCCTCCGCCGAGGTGCAAGGCATTTCATCCAGCTCAGTGCTCATGGAGCGATACTGCACGCTCAGTTCGTAGGTAATTGGATCGTCGTACGGCGAGCGTGCAAAATTAATCAACTCGTGCACAAAGTGACATGTCTTGCCGCCAAAGAAGGTTACCAGCGCGTCCTGGAACTCGGTGCTGCGCATGGGCACATCCGCCAGCATGCCGTGCACCACCTCATAGGCTTGGACCATATCCTCCTCGCTGCTGCGCACGAGCACGGAGGCATCACGATTCACCCAGTCCATAATGCGATGAATCGCACGTGGATCATTTCTGTGGGAGAACGCACACACTGGATCAAGATGGGTTCGTGTGAGTCGCCTGTCAGCCGGCCCTGACTTACCTGAGCGCCTGGGGGCTCCAGTCGCGAAAGCCGCGCTTGTCGCTTGGCTGCTTCGAGTACAAACAATTGGCATAGACATAGATGCGCCACGAGATCATCTGACGCGTAGACATATTCACGGCAAAGATCTGCTCTTCACAAAACCGAACTTCGCGGCGGCTCGTCGCAAATTGAAAACTGAAGTGTGCAAAACAAAATAATTCAGACCAGCTGCAGATATCTCGCAGAGTTTCGGTGCCACAAGCCGCTGAATCACACGAGGGTTCGATTTGTTTATTTATCTAACGCAGCAACTTTACTTGAATTGAATCTTTGCACAGCAGCAACTTATGCAGGCGCCTGCTTTTTTTCTGACAGAGCGAAAGGCTGCCCTGTGGGTGTGTACACACTGAAAATACCACAGTGTTGGCAAATACCAACAGATCATATAATATTTTGTGCAAATCAATTGAAATTATTGCAATTTGAAAAGCTTAAGCGGAGTGTTTAGCTAGTAGTGATCGTTACTGGCTAATCGGTAATGCGGCAGCAGCTGTTTGCGCGCTGGTGTGTACACACTGAACATACCAAATACCAAGCTCAAAAATGTACCTGTGTGTGCACGTTTTTTCGAGGAATCCCTCCCAGTACACACACCAACAAAGCTAGGAATATATTTAAACTCAAACTGAAATTCCAGATCCGTTACGATTGTAGCGAAAAGAAGTTACACTTTATAACCTGCAAAAATCTGGAAAATCTTTAAAAATATTCCTTGAACTCAGGTGTCTTTTGTACAGCTTTTGTCAACTTTTTTTACAATAAATCTTTACATTTATTATTTGATTTTTTGTTGTTGTATATTTAATGTTTGTTCTTTCTCTGTGTTTTTGTTGTTTGTGTGCTCAATTTCAGGCCACACCAGTATCCAAAAACATTTAACACGCTCTCTCTCTCTCTCTCTCTCTCTCTCTGCTCGCTCCAATGCAATCCATGATCTTTGTGGTGTGTGCCAAAGTGTCGTTATTTCTATGGTTCAAAGCTATGAACTTGAATTATTGTGTATGCTAAATAGGTAATTTTTAGATGATCTTAAATAAATAAATGTACAACATGAGTGGGAAAGGATGGGAGGACAATAACGGGCATGCTGGATAGGTCTCTCTGCCAATGCTTCAATAGAATCCATCCGCTTTTGGGGTACACTGGATACATTAGTACTTATGTGGGTGTGGGTTGAACATTTTAATAATGTTTTGCTTATAGGTAGTTCTTGCCCAACTACAAACATATATGTAGAATATTGATAAGGGCGCTGTGAATATTTACAATTTAAATGGGCAATCTTAGGCCTAGGATTAAACAATTTAATTAAATTACAAGTTAAATAATAGATTATTATAGTGGGGGGGACAAGGGCAACATATTTAAGAATCCAGATTAAGGGAGAAGACAATCAATCAATAATCTTTGAACAGCGTTTTTTTTAGTGTAATAAACGGTTGGAGCTTATGCATTGTTCCTCTAGCTAATCTTCATCATTATCATTATCATTATCATTATCTTCGTCTTCGTCGTCGTCATTGTCATTGTCGTTGTCATTATCCTCATCATCTTCATCGTCGTCCTCATCCTCAGCTTCGTTCTCTTCCTCATCTTCATTTTCATTTTCATTCTCATCATCTTCTTCATCCTCATCCTCCTCTTGATCTTCGGTGGCTGTGGCTGTGTCATCTGCCGTCTCTGCATCTGCATCGGCTTCCACCAGCGGTTCCCCAACCACATCGATGGCCGACTCCATTTGATATTGATTGCTGCCTTCGGCATCCACATCCGAGTACAAACCCATATGCACATCCTCCTCCAGGCTATTGGCAGTGTTTGGCAGTGCATGGCGTAGAAAGATAATTGCCTCCTCGACGCCACTCGACTGATCATTGAACAGGCCTCCACTGACGCCACCATCCACGTCCACGTCGGCGTCTGCACCGTCAGCAGCGTCAGCAGCGTTTCTCTCATGCGTCAGTGTGGACAGCTCAATCAGGGAGTGGGCAATGTCGTGCTCATCGGTAGTGCCAGCGGTGCCACGCACCAGAGGATCACTAGCACAGCTCGTTGCGCGCCAGTTGAACGAGCTCAGGGCCGAGCTGGAGGAGGCTGTTGTGGTGCTGCTGCTGGCTACGCTGGCACTGTGGCTGGACAGATTGCTATTGCTGCAGCTGCGACGACGCTTCGGCGCACTGCACTCGGCCTGCGTTTCCTCTAATGACTGCTGATGCATACTACCGCCCGGTGGTGGGGCCTGTGAGTGCTGTGGCTGCTCCTCCTTGGGCAGTTGCAACTCCCGCTTGAGCGGCTTTCGATCCTCCAAGACTGCCTCTGAGCGCAAAGCAGCACGCAGAGCGCTAAGCTGCAGATTAAATTCCGGGCTGCCATCGTCAGAGTCCTCGCTGCTGCTCTTCTTTTTGGGTACTGCAAAAAGGATATGGAACATGATTATGGGGGGGGGGGGGATTGATTGTTTGGGTCCACGTACCACTCGCTTCACTGCTGCCGCCGCCCGACTCATCATCGCTTGAACTGCCATCGGAGGTGCTTGCTTGCTCGGGTTCGCGCTCAGCCACCGGCAGCTTCTTCTCTTCCTCGTCCTCCTGGTCCTCCTGCTTTGGAGGACTCTGTGCTGTGGCCTGCTCGACCTGTCGCCTGCTGCGCTTTCGTGTTGGTCTCTTGGGCTTCTGTGCAGCTGAACGCTTGCGTGACTGCGCCTTGCGAAGTCTTCTTTTGGTGGTGGCCAAGGGAACCTCGCTGTTGCCGCTGCTTTCGCTGCTGTCATCGCTGCTGGAGCTCCACTTGAAGAGTGTGGTACTGCTGCTACTGCTGCTGCTGCTGCTGCTGCTGCTCGAACTGCTGCTATGGCTGACTGAGGAAACGAAACTGGGATGGCTGTTGCGTTTCAAGCGTGTGGAGCCAGCGATGCGTAATAGATCCTGACGACGTGCGTAGTCGTAGCACTGCTTCCAGTTCTTGCCTATGCTGGCGGCAGCGCTTGTGCTGGGACCCATATACAGGCCTTGGTTGGCCGTCTGAGCCTCATTCTGTTCCGCAGTATTTGCGGCGTCTGTTGTGGCTGCCGTTGGGCGATGGCTGGCCGGCGGACTCTCATTCACTTCGTGCACAAACACAACGTCCGAATCGCTGTTGGAGTCGAGCGTCACCTGTTCGGGTGTGCGCAAATGCGGCGGCTTCAGCTCCAGCACAAAGACACACTCATCATCGCCGCTGGAGCTGCTGCTGCTCTCCAGCTCAATGTGGGCACTAATCGGTATGCTGGCGCCGGCCTGTCGCCTGTTTGAGCTGCTGCCATCGGTGATGGCGGCCACCTCGGCATTGGCCGCAGCATCGCCGTCATCGATCTCGATCACTTCCGAGTCGCTGGCCGGACGCCGCATGCTCAAGTTGATGGCCACTGTCTGGGAGCCGACGGTCGAGGTGGTGGCACGTCGCACTGAGATCCCTGGCAGCTCGCTGCCATCGCTGTCCATGGTCACGCTGAAGGAATGTGTGGCACCGGGATTGGTCACAATCACACTGGTGGACGGACGATCGCTGGCGTTGGCATTCCACTCGTTGGATGACTCAGCATTCGCCGTCTCCCCATCGCCGACCTCCAAGTGCAAGTCGCTCTCGTTTGACGACTGTGTCTCGACCATGTCCAGCAGATCCACTTCCACCTCCTCCGCCACACGGGCCGAGTACTGCACCACATGGTCGTAGCCAATCATATCGAATGGGGAGCGGGCAAAGTTGAACAGCTCGTGAATGAAGTGACTGGTGCGCGCGCCCAAGTGCGGCGACAAGCGGCGCCGGAATGTCGGTCCCAGTATGTTTGTCATGGGAAGAATGTCGTGCATCAGCTGCATCACGGTCCTGATACTGTGCGCAGCATTCCTCAGCAGGCACACAATGTCGCGGTGTATCCACGGCATCAGTCGATGCATCTGGGCAGGATTGTTTCTGCAAGGGCAAAATATGTTGAACGACTGAACCGCACGCACATCCACCGGACCCAGTCGGTTCTCACCTGTAGAAACGAGCACTCCACTCGCGAAAGTGGCCGGTGAGAGTGTCACTGACTGGCAGGGCATAGAGCTTGCGATCGTAGACATAACGTCGCCAGAGCTGGCTCAGTGAGCTGCCCGAGATGGCGGGATCCTGGTCGTGGCGATAGAAGTTCATCAACTCCATGCGGTACGGCTCGAAGCGGTTGTACGCGTGTCGGATCCCACCTGCCGTTTCAACGGTGGGCAGGCCATCCTGCGACGCATCACCCGCAGCCGCAGCGCCGTCCAGATCATTCGTCATCGACGACTGATTCTGCACCAGCGGCATGAACCTGGGTCGCCGCACAATTTGGAAACGCAACGCTGGATGATGATCGGGTATGGGCGGCGATGAGTTCTGTACCGGATAGCTGTCAAAGTCGTCCAGGGTGCGCACATTGTGGATGATTGTCTTGAAGGGCTGCTTGCACAGCGGGCACTCAGCTTTAACCTGTCAACGAGGAAACATGGTTAGGAATCAAATTTGGTACACCACTCCACACCTGCCCCTCCTGATACTCACCTTGCTCCACTCGCAGAGACACTTGAAGCAAAACTGATGCATGCACGAGTCGGTGAAGCATTTCCGCTTGCAGCGCGACAAGCAGATGGCACAGTTTGGTGGCGGCGATGTGCGTCCACTGCCCGATGCACTGGTGCCCGGCTCTCCGTTGCCGTTGGCATTGGCACTACCATCGCCGTCGCCGTCGCCGTCGCCACTTTCGCTGCCACTCTCCGTGAGATCGGCGAATTTCATGGCTGCCGGTGGCAGGGTTAGGGTTCTGCTGCCAGTACCGTTGGCCGTGAGGGCTAGTCCGCCCGGCAGGCCTGTGCCAACAGGCTCAACAATAACAGAAGCAGCGACATCGTCCCCATAGGAGGCGGCTGCTGCTGCGGGCAGCTCCTCTACCACCTCCGCCATGTTGAGCGTTCAATTAAAATTCTGTTATCTGCTGCTGAGTTGGTGACTTGTTCCGGATGACGGGCGGAAAGTGAGGGCGAGCCTCAAGTTACAATGTAGTTCGGAATGGGCGCTCGGGCCCCGCACTAAAATCCGAGTTTTTGTGTCTACTCTGGCACTTGCTATCTCGCTTGCACACAGACTATCATCTGGTTCATCGTTCACAATACATAGTAAAAATTCACATGCGTCTTTTTTTGCATCGCTTTAATAGGGCAACAGCCTCATTACAACATGCTCTGACTATCGCTTCCGGTAGCCAAAAGTCTCAAGAGGCTTTTTTCACTGCTCTTTGGTGTTTGAGTGCACTTCAACTTTAATATTTTAAATATTCAATATCAAGGAAAGTAAATTTGTTTGTCCAAATTTCCACAAAATGGTATTACTTATGCTACATGAGAACTACCCAGCGACGAGTTTGCTAACAGAGCCTCCTAGCGGCGAAACCGGTACATAGAAAAAAACAACTAGTTTACTAGTTCGATAAGCCAGGGCGTCGAAAAGTTTACACCAAAATCGTATGTCAAATATAAAAACAGCTACAAAAAAGGAAATAATTAGTATGAAATTATTAACATATTCAATTTTTCCTTAGTTGTTCTGCAGAACATCGATAATTTCCACATAAGAGGTGGGAACCAACTATCGATACTACTATCGATACCGTTGCTTCGTGTGCAGTGGCGTCCATTTGTTGATATTTTGGAATTCTAATATAATTGTAATAATAACAATGGCCAGACGCAACAAACGTACCTCCTACGAGCAGTACCAGATTTACCTGGACATGATGGAGTTCAATCCAGTGTTGGCAAGCGGCAGGGCATCGCGCCACGAGGACCTAATGAAATGGAAACAATTGAGCGATAAGCTAAACAAATGCCGGACGGGGCCCAGTCTGGAACCCGAAGAGTGGCGAAAGGTAATCAGAGTTTTACATTAGGGTAGCAGAGGCACAGCTCACACTCTATATGCCACTTGTAGCGCCTGAACGATTGGAAGAACACAACGCGGTGTAAATACAGGCGCATCACGATGTCACCAGGAGCCAAGTTATCCCTCTCGCCGCTCGAAAACAGAGCCTTGGGTATTTTTGGTGGGAGCGCGGACGTGAGCACAGTGGTCATCGACGATAGTACCGAATACCTGGACGAGGAACTAGTTGAGAGCTACGCAGAGTCGAGCGAAGATGCCAGCCCGCCCCCAAAAGCAATTCGAATTAGCGAGGGTCCCCCGCGCAAAGTTAAGCAGGTGCCAGTGCAGTACAAAGAGCGTCCACCCACCAAGATCATCAATGGACAACTTCCCGTGAAGCGGGTGCGCGTACAAGTACCCCAGCAGCTCTATGAAGGTGAGTTGTTACCATTCAAACATTTTAAACTATCTAATTCCCCTCTTCCTTCTGACTTTAGTGAAAAGTTCGCTGCGGAACGACACTCCCACGTACGCCCAGGAGATTGAGAAGCAGCTGCAACGAATCGCGGACATCCACAGCGCCGGCCTGCAGTTCAAGATTGCTTGTTTCAAGTACAGTAATCCAGGATTTGAGTACAGCTCACCAGAGTTATAGCGCCATGCCACAATCTAATGACAATCAACAACATATCGATAGTGTTTTGTGACATTTTGAAACATCATTTAGTGGCCTGTTAAGTTACGTTTTAAAAGATTTATCTTCATTAAAAATAAAGAATAAACTAAAATTAAAATAAAATTACAACTATCGCATAAATGCATTTCCGCCAGATGTCGCTGAGAGTGCAATGCAACCCTGTGCATCGCCTGCGGAATTGCACTGAAAAATCCCAAACGCGTTAAAATTGTTTGTGGACACTTCGCATCTTTTTGTGGCGTCGGATTTTATAATTTACGAATTGGGGCAATAAATACAATATTCTCTGCGTGCATTAACCGTTTTTTGAAAGCAAAATGGACCGAAGAAAGAAGCGCACATCCTCGGAACAGTACCAGATGTACATAGACATGATGGAGGCGGACCCAATTTTCGCCACCGGACGGGTGCCGCGCGATTATGATCTTAACTATTTGACAAAAAAGTGGAAGGAGCTCTCAGACCGGCTAAACAAATGCAGCTCGGGGCCCACACTCACACCCGAGGAGTGGCGCAAGGTAATCCGGGAATCTATTTCGTGTAGTTTGAGCATCCCATAAGCACTTTTCCCGCCTTTTGCAGCGACTGAACGATTGGAAGAACACGACAAGATGCAAGTACAGACGCAGCCTCATGGCCACCGAGAAGGACATATCGATGACGATGCTAGAAAACAGAGCACTCGATCTGTTTGGCAAGGTGCCCTCAGCCACGGGCGAGCCGCTGCTGAATCTGAAGTCCGAGAAGGACGACGGCGACGATGAGATGGAGGACATTGGACAGCGCACATCGGCCGCTTTCCAAAAGGAACTGCAAGCCGCCGTCGAGGAGGCCATTAACGATGAAGTAGACGACGAGGATATGCTCGAGGAACACGTCGAACAGGAGGATATTATCGACGAGAATCTGACCGACAACGGCGGTGCCATTGAGGGTTCGAATGCTGCCACAACCGCCGTAAATACGGGCGGTGGCACTTACCGCACCATCGTCGTGGACAACACATCGTTTGAGCACGTGGAAGAGCCGCATCCCGTTGAGTTTGTGGCCGCCCGTCGTACGCCTGCTTCCAGCAATTCCAGCGTCCATGCAGTCATCAATTCCGGCGCTGTCGTTGAAACCAAGCTCATCAATGGCGAACTGCCCGTGAAGCGATTGCGCACCCAGACCCGGCCCGATCAAATCATCTACCATGGTAGCCATAACTTTTTACTTGTCCAACTAATGCAGAGATTTAATGACATCGTTCCCCTTTGCAGTCCAAAATGCGCCGCGTTGCATTTCAAACAAACAGGACGTGCCGCCGCTGCTCAGTACGAAGGTGGAGCGGGATAGCACACCATTGAGCGCTGCACTGAGCAGCCAGGATGGCCAGCAGATAGCCCATCAGCTGAAGCGTCTGGCCGACATCAACTACGAGACACTGCAGTTCGAGATCGCGCGATTCAAGTTCAATAATCCGGGTTTCCAATACAATCCGCCGTCCTTATAGTCCGCCATGCATCAGTAGACGCAAGAGGCGGCTCAGAAATCCCGGCAACAGCAAAGAAACAAACAAACGTCAGTTGCAGCATTCTCAGCAGGGTGGAGTCGTGAGTGCTAGTAGCTCTGCTCTGCTAACAGCATAACTTATAGTAGCCAGATTAGATTAAAGTTTATTTAGAGACTTCTATTGCAAATATACAATATCATATTTCTCTTTTATACACCATTCAAGCCACACACTCACACACACTCACACATGTGTGTATGTGTATGTAGTACGTGGCACGCCTGATAGGAGCAGAGCGTGCTGCAAGTACATATAAATTGGACAAAGTAATTTTAATCGTGTTGTATGTAAATGTAAAGAATAAAGTTTACCAATGATAAATACGCAATGGAAGTCAGAGCAAGCCAGGACTCAGTACGGAACCCTCACTGTTGTTGATCTGCCGCTGCATTTGTTTTGCTTTATTTATGACTCTGCGCCCCAATCGATGGCAACACGAAAAGTCCATTAATCATTTTTAGCGTCTCGAAAATGAATGGCGTCGACAATGCAACGCAACGGAAAGCAACGCAGTGTTGGTGGCTTCTATGAGGCAGGGGCTTGGGTTTTGGGTCATTTAACCTGACCGCACACTTGTGGGCGCACTTTATAACTGTCAGGGCCTGCCCTGGGGGGGCAGGCAAGTGCACATCCAATGCGAAAGAAATCACTTTTAACTGTTATATGGCTGATGCAACAAGTGCCGATCCAAACTGATCCCAGGCACAGCCTCAGTCTCAGCCTTCTCTTGGTATAACTGCAATGGGCAATAGATCATTTGCACGCCGTGCGCTGCGAATCATAAATTACTGGGAGACCTCTAGCCAGGTTGCAGGCTGCAGTGTGGCTCTTCTAGCAACTTGCAACAGTCGACGACGCATGACGTTCCGTTAGGAATCATTGCCATCTCTTTTTTGCTGGCTCGCTGGCATTTCGGGTCGATGATAACTGCCAAACACGTCGTATGCTTAATCTGTTCTGCTTTCTGCACCATCTACTCCCCACCCAGTCTGCCCAGCCCGTGGCTGCAGCGTGCAGCGTGTGGGTGCCGCTCGCTTGCTCTTTGATGAAAAGTCTGCCCAGCCAAAAGCTGATTAACGTACCATCATACAGGCAGACACAGACAAATACACTCTGTACCCATCCCGCAGAGATGTCTGTCTGTCTGTCTGTCTGTCTGTCTGTCTGTCTGTCTGTCTCTCGGTCTGCGTCTGTCTGGGCCCACAGATGTCTTCTTCTCACATGGCGGCTGTAACTGAACCTAGACCTGAGACCTGGAATCTGGCTGTGGCCATGGCCATGCCACAGCGCAGGAGTGTGCATGCCAAGTCCATTAAATAGTTCGTGTTGCACTCGTTTCGCTGAGCCCAACTATGGGTCCATTGGATATGGGTATGGGCTGTATGGGTATGGGTCTGGCACACATGACAGCGTGCAGAATTGACCCCATAGGCGGGTGCTATAAAAGCTCCAGAAATAACAACAGAAAAAAATGAACGAAACGAAGGCATTGGGTAAAGGAGTCTCTGGACTACAAAATACCTCAACTTGAGGGCACTTTATTGTTGAACAATTTGCAGGAGATTTAATTTACAAAGGAGAATTATGTTGAGGTGCCCTTCACGGCTGAACTGTTCTCAGATATTTTACTGAATAAATCAATGCCTTAACCATAGTTTACCAGCCATTTCAGTCCCTTAAATCAAGAGCCATGAATCGAATTCATATCAAAATGCGTTGTCCGAGCCAACCTCTAACCGATTTCAATTATTTCAAGAAGAATCCGTGGATCCGCTTGAAGAAAGTCTATGCTGACATCAATGCCTCAGTTTTCACCTTGAAGGAGTGCCGGTCCAGGATCGCCATTGATGTCACCATGCAAAATGAAGAGATCCTGTCCGATGTCTGTGTGTAAAACTAAAAAATATTTCTATCTTATTATGTTGTCATTAAATTAAGGTTGAGCTAAAAAAATTCTAGAGACTCACCCAATGACTTGAACCATGGTCAAGGCGGCACATGTGTTGGTTGGGTTTGCCACGTTATCTGGGAACTGGGAACTGGTAACCTCCTATACCCCCTGACTGCCTTACCTCTTCGGTGCGGTGCAAAAGTGCAAAGCGTTTTTATGCTGGCGATTATTACGCTTGATCCTGAAGCACCAAAGGGTCAATTGATGTTTGTGATGACGCTGAATTGAGCCCGAGCCAGAGTCAGAGTCTCAGTCTAAGTCTGAGCTGATGTTGCACGCTGTCTGCAAGCAGCAACATTGTGTTGTTTTTTTTTTGTTGTGTTTTGTTGCCCGCAATTTGCTTTGGAATTTTAAGCAGCATCGCACAGCCATCGTCATCCTCGTCATAGGTTGAAAATTCTCCCAGTTCGCTTTTCTCCAGCTATTTTTGTTGTTGTTTGCTGCTGCTGCTGCTGCTGCCGAAAATTGCATTTCTTTAGCTGCAAGCGATAAAGCTTCAGCTACAAATGCTTCTTTGTGGTCAAGCCATTTTGATATATCACTGGCCCTGAGCACCCCATTTTTGTGTGCAACACGGAACGGCACAGCACTCTGTGGCCTGGCTAATCAAGGTTGCCGCTCTGGGGGCTCTCCAGCGGTTCTCAGGATTGCCTTTTGATATAGAAATTACTGCAACGTTTTTCGGGTGCGCTCTCTGGCTGGGAAAATGAACGATTGAATTGATTGGAGAGACGCTAAAAGATGTCATCAGCCGGAGAAACCCTCGCATGCGCAGGCTGCAATCATTTCTTTGTAAAATTCCAAGTGCTGTTTGCCATATCAGAATCTTATTATAAAGATAATATATCGTAGCCCCCAAGTATACCATTTATGTACACTTTTGTGCTGTCAGCAGTCGTAAATCTAAAGAGCTTTTGCTTAAAAGCTTAATTTCGATCAATTACCATTGGCCGCAGCTCTCCCTCTGCTCCTCTCTCTCTCTCTCTCTCTCTCTTCTCTCCCTGTCGCTGTCGCTGTCTTTGGGTAGCCCCAGCAATCTCTTCCTCATATCAACTTTGATGGGATGCTCGGACCATGTTGCTGCTGTCCAGCATGTAATTATATTAGCATGATCTATGCCATTATGCACATACACATCGATATAGTGCAATTAGTGCATCAGCAGGAGCAGCAGACAGGGGTGGCAGGGTGGCAGGGGGGTAGGAACAAGCTGAACTATCGGCTAAAACAATGTGGCCAGCGGGCGTTTATAGCCAACGACAGGCTATTATTGACGCCACTCGAATGGACAGGCACCGGCACTGGCGCTGGCACTGGCACTGGCCCTGGTCTAGGCCAAAAACGTTTTTGCATTGGCCAGCATCGGTTGCGACTCGATGTGGTTGCGGCTGATATTGCATGCAAATTTGTGCTGCTCCGGGGGGGCAGTACAGTAAAGTACAAAAAATATTGAGCGTTGAAATGGCGCCCTCTTCAGCTGGGCTGCAGTCATAAACACGCACTAATTGCAGCCGTGATTTGTTGCACACTGCATTAATGGCGCTCACAGGACACGCAGTGGCAGTGGCAGTGGCAGTGGCAGCAGCAACTCAAATCAAAACCCTTATTGCCTATAAATGGCAGTTTTCGTTGCAGCAGCAACAAAATGTGGCGACATCAAGCGTAAAGCTTTCAACATCAAACAGCACAAACAGCAGCAGCAGCAGCAGCGACACCGCAGCAACATCTATGCCACATCAGAGACGGACCAGCCCCACTAGGCCTTTTGATGTATAAACAAAATTTAGCAAAAATACACCAAGTTGATCGCATTAAAAGTGATGTTGCTGCTGTGCTCCTCCAATGTTGCTGCTGTGCTCCTCCAATGTTGCTGCTGCTGCTCCTTCTGGCCATGCAATTAGGCGCGAGATGAATGTCTGGCTTTGGCTCTGGACTCTGTCCAGGCGGGGTGGTCCTCTGTGTCGCCAGCGTGGCGATCGATCCATACATTGATATACAAATCGATTGCTTGATCTCTCACTTGCAGCAGCAAATGGGGCAAACGGGGCAAAAAAAGCAGCTCGCGTGGTCAGCGCCAATTACTTAGAGCATACTCGTATCAATTATATTACTGCAATGGATTGTACAATAAATGGCCAGAATGATAGCCCCAGTCTGGCTGCAGGAGTCCAGCAGTTCTTCCATGGGGTTTTTCGTTGCCACACAACAAGAAAATGTTGAAGTAAATCAAAGCAAAACTTAACAATTGCAATCAGTACCAGAATTGATGATATTTGATAGAAGTGATAGATTGATGAAGCCTGAACTTTATTTTACTTAACACGGCCCTGAATTTCGCTCAGTGTAAACGTACTGCTGGTGCTGCTGCTGCTGCTGTTGGTTGTAATTGAACTGCGCGTATTGCAAAATTATTATTTTGTGCATTTGCGATTGCCAGTGCCTACTGGCACTATCGGGCCCATCTTCTGGCTCCTGCCCTACGAGCATACCGCAGCAGGTACCGCCCTGCGCCTCTGTTCATATGTTTTCATTACGTTTTTCCCTTCTTTTTGTTGTTGTTGTTGTTGTTGCTGTCCCCCCTATTATGCGTGTACGTGACGCACAATTTGAAATTGCCAGAGCTTATAAGCCGGATACCGAGCAACCAAATGCACACACAATTCCAACATTGACTTGCACCTCAGTGCTGAAGCCTGCAGCTCTGGCTGCTCCTCCGTCTCCGTCTCCAACTGCAGCTCCTCCCTCAATGAAAGAGGTACCCAGGTTCAGTCCACCCGTGAATCGACGCATCCTCTGTTTGTGGCTTTTGTTTGCCGTTCAAGTTTACAATTTTAATGCACTGCCACTTGACTGTTGACAGTGGTGCAACACGCCGCCAAAACCAAACCAAAGCCAAGAGTTTGCTGTGCTGGTTTATTGATTTTATGCTCGGTACGTGTACGTGGAGCAAACCCTTGCCGGTAGTCGCCCCAGTTGATGTTTGCTGTGGTTGCTGCTGCATTTAGACCACATTTCGCACATGCCCCAAATGCATGTTTCACTTTTGCTGTGAAGCGGATCGAGTACGAGTGTGATTCATGCTGTAAAAGTAGAAATTGCATGCCAAAAAGTGTAGGGGAGATACAATTTTTAGGGGAATTGAAAAAGAGTTTCTAAGATCCAAAGTTCCTGTTTCAGTTTGGTCACCTCTGCCTGAGTGACCCACACTCCATGAAATGCATTAGGTCGATTCTGTAGTTGGCCCCAAAAAAGGGCTAGCAAAAGGAGAGATTCCTTGTGGCCACATCGTTAGGGTGCAGCAGCAATTGCGAGCACCTGGATATGATTGAAATTGAAGTACTCCGAAGGTAACGAGGCAGCAACGAACATGGCCTCCATATCAAACGGGCATCAAACAATTTCAAATGGATCGAATGAGAAATCAACAGAGTTGGCCAATTGCTGCAGTGCAGCTGGGATTCTGCTGCTCTTGTTGTTGTCGTTGTTTGTGTTTTTGTTATTGTTATTATTGTTGCTGATGTTGCTGCTTTGTATGCATGCAATGAACGTGATCGGTTGCAATTTCAGCGACTTGAGAACAAAGTGGGCAAATGCTGTTCCCGAGTCCGATCGCAGCAGAGCGGAGTGGAGTGGAGTGGAGTGGAGCGACAATGTTGCAGAGACGCACAGAAGCAACAAACAGCCAGCCGCTGAAGCTGACGCTGATGCCCGAGATGCTGCCACATTTCACTTGAGTTTGGTCCCCGTCTCGATGATTGAAATTCTAAGACCAGGGGACTGGTACTCCTCATTCTGTGAGACGGTGACGGTGACGGTGACGCGGATACCGACTCGACTCAAAGACCAAGTCAAAGTCAAAGTCGAAGAGCAAGTCCAAGACCAAAGTGGTTTGAGGCTGAGTTCAGTTGACCTTTTCGCATGAGAATCATCGATGATGGATGCACTGCCAGGCCAACTTGATCTGGACCTCAGCGCCAGACGGGCACAGAGATAGAGACAGACTTGGGTGAATAAAACGGGAGAAAGAGAGACAGCTTCAGCTGTCAGTACGTGCAAGCACCGTCATGGGGCAATTTAAGTGGAAGGAAAGTTTGTTTGTAGTACATACCCGTATTCTGCTTCTTCGTTTTCAAGTGCTGCTATTTTTTGGGCCTTGCCTTGCATTCACACACATCTACACACATTCCCATCGATGGGCTGTCATGCTAAGCTACAGTGTTACCCCAGAATAGAGAAAATGTAGTTCCAAAAGCTAATCATAAGCAACAGAAATGTATTCTTTTACAGTGACAGCATATCGGTGATCGGTAACAGTACTGCTCCCGCAGCTGATATTTAATGCAAGACTAAGTAATCTGAGTGCCCACTGTATGCACCACGCGACAGATAATTGCGATCACCTATGGTAGATATGCACTGTAAAGGGGAGAGGGAAGGTAGGGGCAAGCCTGGAATCGAACTTCGTCAATGCTGCTCGTCGTCGTCGTCACAGTCGTTCCATCGTGGAATTTCACAGCCAGAGCATGGAAATTTGTTCGATGCCTTGTTGCCCTCTCTCCTACTCCCCACTCTCTTCTGTTTTTCTACTGTTTGCACTTCCCTTCCCGCTCACCTGATCAATCTTGGTTACCCGCTCTAGTGTTCGCTCTTCCCTTTTGCACTCTCCTCTCCAGTCATTCCTTCCCTCCCTCCCATCAGCACCTACCCCAACCGTTTTTGTGTTTGTTTGATTTGGATTTGATTTGATTTCGCCAGCAAAGGTTCTTGCTGCTTCTTCTGTTCCTTCTGCTTCTCTCTATTCAGCTCTCTCGGAATCACCACTCTCCCCCTCCACACCATAACTAGCCTTATTCAAATACTCTCTGCACAGTTTCTTGACCTTTTCGCGTGCCGTGTGACGCGGACGCAGTCGCCTTCTCCGTCTCCGTCGTCTACAATTGTAACTGCACATGCGCGCGCCTTGTTCCTCTGCTTCCTCAGGTACCACGACTGCTTCCTCTATTCCTTCTGCTACCTGCCTACCTCTGTTCCCGTTGCTGCTCTTCCTCCGCCCCCAAATTGCCAATTTTGCAGCTTTTGCAGCGCGTCCTCTCCATCTCGGTCTTGCTGCCGAAGCTGTTGCAGTTGTTGCTGCTGCGGAAAATGCGATTGACGGTAATTGGTTGACGTTTGTCTTATTTAAATTTGTTTTCTTTGGGATTTGTTTCCCTACGTCGCTGTCGCTGACGCTGCTGATTCTACTCCCGCTTGGCTCTTGCACGCTCTCATGACTGGATACCCTTCCCTAAAGAGAGAATACGGATTTATGTAGGCTGCTTAACAGAAGGAATTTATCAACATATCACAGGTATATGAAATACTTGTCCAACATACATACAATTAAACTTATGAAACTGATCTTATATACATTTAATTATATCCATTTCACTGGAAATTAATTTCCATATCCCTCCATAAAACTCCGCTGTGAAGTGCATCTACTGTTCGTGGTGGCTGCCAGTGTTCTTTCCGCATTTCTCGTTTCCTTTATGGACTCTTCTCTCAAGCGGCTGCTGCTCTCCGCTCTCTGCTCTTGTCTGTGGTCCGTGGAGCGAGCGGCGTGCAACTTTAATTGAAATGAAATGAGTTTCGTCGATTTGTGTTCTAGGAATTTGTTTTTTGATTGTTTTCTTGTAAATTTGAATGATTATCGAGGCAGTTGTTGCAGCAGCAGTTGTTTCTTCTGCAGTGCAGTTGTTCCTGTTGCTGTTTTGCAGCAGTTGCGCAATTGCAGCACAAGAGAAGTAAACCAAACAAGTCGTTAAGCCTACACCACCCCTCCCACCACGCGCAAGTGTAATTGCAGATCAGATGGATCAAAGACCCTACAACAACACAGAGAGACACATCATTTCAGGTATGTACTACAACTATGTGTGTGTGTGTGTGTGTGTGTGTGAAGAAGGTGTTGTTACAATAGGAATATCACATTGTACTTGTGCAAATAACATGAAAAATGTAGAGAGATGTCTCTCTCTCTCTCTCTCAATGTCCTCTTCTATGGATTGCGTAATTGAGCTGCTGCGGTAACTCTTAATTGTATGGCGGAAGCGTTTTTAGAACTGGGCCAGGACTTGCACACAGAATCAAAAGAAGACAAAGATTAAGAGAAGCCGAACGGCTGCAGCAGAATGGAAGGCAATTTGTTACCGCTATACTCGATATCGCCACGCATCCCGTATATCGCGATAAAGCTGCACGCTAAACGAAGCCACTTCCTCAAATAAACATTCACTGCACCACAGAAAAGAGATGGCAACAGAAGAATAGCAAAGAGCAGCGAGGGAGAGACAGAGAGAGCGAAAGACACAGAGTCCAGAGAGCTGAGAGCTGAGCTGTGGCAAGATTGAAACCGAAACTGATGCGTAGTTTAGGGCGATTTACACACAGTTTAAACAGACATCCCGATACAAATCGCCTAGAAGAGATCTTTCACAGGAGAGGCACAGGTTGGGTGGAGGCAAGGGCAGCTGGGAGGGTTGGCAGCTGCTTGGATGCAGGTTCGGGGCCAGGCCAGGCCAGATATCCAGTCTTCCTGGTGCCATAACTGTAGCAAATGGCTGGCCAACATGCAGGTCTCTTTCATTGCCTTCAGAATCTCTCAGACAGAGAACCTGAGACTCTGGGACCCAAGGGTCTATGGCGTAGGCGTCTGTTGTTGTTATAAATTGCACATTTGATGAGCAGAGAATCGTTTATGGTTTGATTTCGTTCTCCCTCTCCGAACCACCAGCATCAGGCCCACAGCTGTGCGAGATGATCCACACAAAGCAGAGAGCAGTGAGCAGAGAGTCCCCCCCTTCCTTGGTGTCTCACTGCCCGGTGGTTGCATGCGGCTGATTAATTGTGGCAACGTCATAAACGTGATGATATCGCAATATAAGCGCATTTTTCATGTTATTCAATTCGTTGCCCCCAGCTCCAGCTCCAGATACAGTTCCTGCCGCAGCAACAGACAGAGCACCCAGCCCCAAGTAACCGCTTCAAATGGGGACTACAATGTATTTGCATATAGCATTACGGAAGATTTAAACAGCGAACTGGCTTGGAGGAGCCGCAGTCTCTCGATATTGCAACTAATTACGAGTATTAACGCAATTTGGTCTTCATAAAACATTCGGTTCCGCATTGCCATACTATCACATCCCCCATCCCCGGAGCAATTGAGATTTAATTTGATTCTTTGCCCAAACCCGGACAGGTGTCTATGAGGCAGGTGTTTCGCCTCATTGTCTCGGCCAGGAAGCATTTGGCATGCGTGTTCGTTTATTTAAACTGATTTTTTTCGTTTTGTTTCCTCTCACTCACTCCTTCGCTCGGGTTTTCCTTTTCTTTTTAGAAAAACTGCGCAATTTTCACTGATTTTGGTCAGACCGGTGTTTGCTTTTTGTTGTCTCACAACGTTTACATACAGCAATAGTACTTACTATACACTAGACATGTGAGATCACATCGTATATTATAGAGAGAAAATCGTGTCGGGAATTGTTAATTCTTTGTGGCGACTGGGCACGTACCAAGGGAGAACCGAAAATCCATTTTATATCAAAAATATTTATAGAAATTCCTATCGAATTTTTTTTCGATTTGTTGTTCAGGTTTAATAGCTTCGATGGAGTAAAGGGTAATATTCTGCTCGGAAAATAACCTTGTAAAAATGTAACTAAATTCGTTTTTTATAGGTTCATAATAGGCATCAAGCAAAAATAAATTGCCTGGAATCCAACATCTTAAAGTTGCCCAAGTTAAAGGCGATTCCTTTGTATCCCCTTTATAGCTCTGCAAATTTGTAGAACAACTTGTTTTCAGCTCTTTACACACTCCTTGAGCACCATTTACATTGCTTTTTCAACGCTAAATTGTAGAAAATTCCCATTCACATTCCCCATTCGCATTTTCACCTGTTGCCTTGCGTTGCACACTTATGGTCCGATCAGGTAATTGTCGACACAAATGGTTTGCCAGACCATTTACCTTTCATTGGGAATAGTTTCAGACCGCCCGCACGTCCACAACCAGAGACAAGTCAACTTTCAACGTGCTTTTTTTTGCTTTGCATATACATTTATTTTTCTGAGACATTTATTTAGACACAAATACAAGTTAAATATATTTCTATAGTATGTAGTATGTAAGGGGTATGTGTATGGATACGCTCTATTTGTAGGCCATATAAGCTGGGGTTCTTGTTTCAATACAACTAAAATGTACAGACTAAACGACTAAGAGACACTTCGCATTGCCTTTGCCTCTGCATTTGTGTGGTAAAAAGTTGAAAACTAATTGCTAAACGAGAGTTATTCGATTATAGTTGTGTGGATTGCATTCGATCAACAGTTTTGCACAACATCTAAATTATGAGGAGGAAATCGATTTGCATTTTGTTCATTTATAAATTCATTTTAGCTACACTTTAGTTGATTTTGTTGTGGTGTTGTTTGCTGCATAACATTCACTAAATCATTACACGGATAAATAATCGTATTGGTTTTGTGTAATATTTCTTACGCTTTAAGTTACACATTGACATTGCCATTCGGTTTTATATGTGTGTTTATATATAGTTTATGGTTTACAATACATATACATATATTATATTATGTTTGATCTTTATTTTGTGGCTTCTTTTTTTTGTGTTTGAAATTTTCTTGTGTGTTTTTTTACTCGTATTTGACTGAACCGCATGAATGGCTTTTTTCCATTTAATTAATAAAATTGGTTTTCAAGTAATTATTAAATTAAACATAAAATTAAAATCACAATTTTATAGACTTGATGTGTGTGTGTGTGGGGTGTGGGTGTATGTTGGGTCTTTGTGTGTGTGTGTGTGTGTATTGTTGCTGTGTGTTCTCTCAGCATTTCCATACGATTTTTCCATGGACTTCCTTCAATCTCTTCATCAAGGGACTTCCTTCCAGTCTCTTCTTTCTGGGACTTCCTTCTTTTAATCGTTTTCGATTCCATTTAGATATATTCTTGTTGAATATTTCCTTGGAATTGCGTTTTTGTAAGCATTCTCGTCGTCATTCTTGGGGGCATAGCAGGGAAAGGCACAATTCAATGTTAATTAAAAATTGCTGCTGCAAGCTATTTAAATTGGTGAAAGCTGCCAATAGAGAGAGAGAGAGAGGAGATACAAATTAATTTTCCCAGTTTTAATATTCGTTTAGTCTCAAGTCTCAGTTTTTTTTTGTTGCACGAATTTAATAAGGAAAAAACAATCAAAACGCAGCACGATTTGCATTGCCACGCCTCCCCCAAGCAGCCTCCCCGTGTTGTTTTTTGTTGCACCCACCTGCAGGAACACACACAGCGTTCCAAATATAGTTTGTAGTTTTTCCATCTTATTGTTGGTTGGTTGGTTGTTTGTTTGGATTGTAGTTTTTGTAGATCTGTTTTTCTTTTTTTGCTGGGGGTCGATGGCAGCTAGAAACGAGTTGGCAACGAATCATCATCATTAGCATCATCTTTTGCTACTCTTCCTCATCATCATCATTATCATCTTTAGCTACTTCTACATCAAGCATCATCAGCATCAGCATCATCATCATCATCAGAACCCTCCTCTAAAGATACAACGTCGCCTGCTGCCGCTGATCGAAATGATGTATATAGAGCTTCTTCTTGGACTTCTCTTTGGATGGCCGCAAGTCCCACACCAGATTCGATAGGCTTCTGGGCCGTGACAAGCGTCGCGTCTTCTTCTCCGGCAGCTTGTTCGAGTCGCCCGATGTCCGGCCGCCGCTGCGCGACGAATCCAGCGTGCCCTCGCGCGGATTGTGATGGTTATTGCTGCTGGAGCTGCGGCTGTGCGGATGTGGCATCGGCATGACCGGCGCCCCCACCGACGTCAGATAGCCGTGCGCATTCAGAATGCTGCCACACTTGAGCACCACTTCGGGTGGTGTGCCTGGCGATGCGTTGGACGTCGGTACAGCCGCCCCCTTGCCATGTGCTGAGATCGTCGGCGGCGTCATGGGTGTATTATTGTTGTCCGGCGTCAACTGCAGGCTACTGAGGCTCTTGTACCTATGGGAATGGAATAGGATAGGGATGTCGTGTCTGGCAGGATAAAAGCGCATCCTTACCTGATGTGAAACAGCGGCGATTGCGGCTCCAGCGCTTCCTTGGCTGGCAAATGATTGTTGGGCGTCAGCACCTTGCCGTGATGTGGATGCGCGTGTGGATGAGCGTGCGGATGGGAGCTATGCGAATGGTTGTGCATGGAGCCATGATGATGGGCAGCAGCGACCGCAGCAGCCGCTGCATTGGCCACAGCATTCGCTGTATTTCCATTTGGGGTCGTTGCCTGTTGTTGCATCTGCAACTGTTGCTGCTGCTGCTGCTGCTGCAAATGGCTGTGACTGTGACTGTGACTATGGCTGTGACTGTGGCTGTGACTGTGAGTGGTGGCGGTGCCGGTGCCGGTGCCCGTGGAGTTGCCATTGCTGCTGCTGCCGGCACTATGCGCATTGGCATTCTTGATGTAAAGCTTTGGTAGTGTAGGACGCTGACGCTTCTCCGCCGGCTTCTTGCCGGGTATCGTCTCAATGGGCGGCGGCACCGGCTTAATGTCCTCCTGTATATGGCTGTGGTGATAGTGATTCACCATGTGATGGCCATGGCCATGCTGATGCGGATGCTGGTGCTGGTGCTGGTGCGGATGGGTGTGCTGATGCTGATGGCCGGCGCCGTTGCTGCTGCTGTGCTTGTTCGACTCCAGGCTGCTGTAGTTGTTGTTGGCGGCGGCGGCTTGCTGACTCGACTGCTGATGGGTTATGGGTGCGCGGATGAGGCTGCAGTAGTTGCCGCTGCCACTGTCCGTGTGATGTGACTTCAGTGTGGGCGACTCGCAGATGGGCTCGAAGCGCGCCAAACCCTTGGAAAGGGGCGTCAGACCCCGCACATAATCGTAAATATGATCGATCTCATTGTACTCCTCGGCAATTTCGCTATTCAACGCCTGCTGGTGCTGCTTGGACCAGGAGTCACAGCTGGCGCTCTTGCGCAGCACATAGCCGCTCTCCGCCAGACCGCTGGCCATGCCCGCGACCGAGGGCAGCATCACCACGGGCAGCCGATTGCCGCTGCCATTTCGACTGTGGAACTTGGAGTCCTTCTTCTCCTTCTCGCTCAGCTTGAGATCGACGATCTGCAGGCGATCGCGAGCATCCGCCAGCAGGCGTTGCGCCTTCTCCAGGAAGCGCGTATACTCGATAAAGTGCTCCAGCTGCTCCATGTTCTTGACCCGCTGCAGCTTGATCTTCGCATTCAGCGGCACTGGCACCAGATCGGTGTCCTTCTGCAGTGGCAGGGCAAAGATCCGATCGATTTCCACGCATCCCAGCAGCCGCAGTTCAGGCACAAACGGTTGCTTCAGTCCCTTGGGGGCACTGCCATGGACGAGTCTGTGGGGGCCAAGGATTATTATTTATCTACATCCTACAAGGAGGGAAACAAACAATAGACAGCTGCGACACTTACCTCACAATGACTGGCATCCGCTTGAGGAGCAGATTCTTGACGGTGTGCACACCGCTGATGCTGTCCTCGCGCGCTATGGCCGAGAACTTGGCTTTGGTATCGAGTGGCAGATTGATGATCTCGTCCTTGATGTTGCGGCACTGCAGGTACTTGCCGTTGTCGTTCATCGTGGTCAGCAGCTCGCCCGCATGGATGGTGCGGTTCATCTGCTGGCAGCGGAACGTCTCGCGCACCAGGACGCGGGCATTGCGGCGTCGCGACAACTCCAGGACCGAGTCAATGCAGCGCGTGGAGCGCCCATCCTCGCTGAGCAGCTCAAAGTAGCCGCCATAGGTCTCTGGGATGAGCACCTTGGCGCCCACATTGGTGGGCTTGCGACCCTCCTTGATCTTGATGGGTTGCGCGAGGATCTGGTACTTTTTGCCGGCGCTCAGGAAGAGCGCCGTGCTCTGCAGCGAGGGGGCCGATAGCGTGGGCACGCCGAGCGCCTGGTGCTGGCCCTTGAGGATCTTGGCCACCGCCGGCAGCGGTTGCTTGGAGAAGTCGCGCAAGTAGACGGGCGTGGCATCGCCGAAACGGGAGGCGGCCAATATGATTTGGCCATCGGTGGCAGCCATGTCGCGGTTGAAGAACGAGAGCAGTTTGCTGCGCGCCAGTTGAACATTAAATGAGAGTAAATTTCATTGGACTGGCTGACGTAGCTGCTCTCCACCCACGGCTCCCTCCTCGCTTTCGCTTCCGTTACCGCTCGCTTTGCTCTCGTCCTCCTCTGGCTCTGCCTCTTCGTCTTCCTGCAACTCCAACTCCAACTCGCGGGCGTTGGCGTTGGCGTTGATCTGATCCTCGAGTGCGCGCCGCTTGGCCAGCTCCTGTTGGCGCTGTCTCAACAATTGGGCCCCTCGGCTGCAGCAGGCGTGTGCGATGTCTTCGTCGGTGGGCGTGGACGTGGTCGCTGGCGCCCCCGTTGGATGCGGATACTGATTCTGGTTGTGGTGGTTCTGGTTCGTCAGCAGTCGCGTGGATGTCTGCAGAGCGTAGCTGAGATACTGCATTCGGTTCGATTTACTCTCCACCCGCTGGCCACAGTGTGCGAATTTTCTTCAAGTTTGCTGCTGCCGCTATTCCACGCTCTTTAGCTCTCTAGCTGCTTCGGTATCGTCTTCCTTTTGTGTCTGCCTTAGCCGTGCCTCAATTAGTGTCTTTTGAGTTCTGCAATGAAACAATTAAAAGATACAATTAATTAAAATTGCGTAAAAAACTGTGCAAAGCGAATCAACGGTAAAAATGGCAATCGATCTACGATTTCTGTTATTGGTATTTTAATACCATTGAAAATACCACAGAAATGTGCAGTGCTGTCAAATGCTCAAGTTCCTTCTTTTTTTGCAATAAAAAAAGAACAAGCAGAACTCGCGCTGTTTTTTCAACTGCTGCTGCACCAATGGACATTACTTGAATGAAATGTTGGTTACAAATCTCCACTTTTGGCTCGAACTTAAAATATTACTTCGACTCCCGCAGATCAGCCAGAATCCGCATCACATACACGGACAACACAGTGGACACAGGGTGTTATTTATGAGGCCCATAAAGTAAGGAGACGACGACGAAGAAGAAGATGGCAAAGTGCACAAAATGAAAACGCAAGCAGCAAAATGCATGCACACATACATACATATAGAATAGACAAGACGACGACTGCGACAATGCCCCAAACATCCCATTAACAACATTACAGAGGGGCAGGCAGAGTGCGGCAGGAGCCAGAAACGGAGCCGGACAAGGAAGCAGTCGATATGGCCATGGGCCAACAGAGACCGCAGACCGTAGACCGTAGACCGAAGACCAACAAATGGCAAGGCATTAAAAGTACTTAAAGGATATTTGCATATTTTATGGCCAAACATAAATGTGGCTGATTACAAGAGTCCCCAAGACGAGGACAGACATCTGCTATGCCAAGAAGATAGAAGCAGCAGCAACAGCAGCATCGTGTGTGTGTTTGTGTGTGTGCGAGGGCGGCAGGCTGTTTGGCATTCACATTTCCCCCCGCATTCCAGCATTTGCATATGGCATACAGGTGGTGGTGGGAACACTTTGGAGGATTGTGCAACGCATTATAGGGATACGATACGGGCAGATTCACTTCAGCAAATTAGTTGGCAATTAGCAAAGTGGCCGCATCTGCTGGCCAATTGACTATGGCTTTAGCTTTCGGCCTGGGAAGAGTATCCATCCATCCATCTTCTAATTGCTTTTCCATTTGAACTGAAGCGTGCGTCGGATCCCAACTATGGCCAGTGGCAGCATCACCGGAGTAGCAATACCGATGGTTACATTGGGAGCAGTTACAGCATCAACGGCAACAGCAGCAGCAGCAGCGCCAGCCGTAGAGCCCATAAAGCGACGTCTCTGCTCATAAAGCATTTAACGAGCCCTCGGGGCTGGTCGGTTACCCTCGCCCTGTACATCTTCCCGAAACTACACCGAAAACCAGATGCAGCTGGAATTAATATTGGCTCATATAAACTGGCAAAATTTTAGTTTGTCCGACCAAAAGTTATTAAATCTTTTTTAGCCCCCTGGCGTACAGCACAACCCCTGGACTTGGACCATTAACAAGCAACGCGCAAATTTTCCTTGAGCAGAAAATTTAATTGATTTTGTTTTAACTGCTCTGGAATGGAATGGCTTTTCCAGGGCCCTGCGATTATCGAATGCAGCTCTGGGTTTTGCTGTGCTTTGCCCCCGAGCCGAATCCAACCTCAAAATGTGTAGCAAACATTTCGGTTGCTCGTTTCCGTTTTTTTTTGTTTTTGTTTTGTTTTGTTTTTTTCTTATTTCTGTTTAGTGGATCTGCTTTCCAATTAATTGCCAGACAAAGACTGAGACGCCAACACGGTCGGCAATTAATTTTCACCATGGAAAGTACCTTTTCCTGGACAGGAAAGCACATACAAAGGAGAGGGGAACGGACCGGGCGAGTGGAGCGTCTAAGACTTGACAATTCTCACGCTCAACGTGGCCAAAAGCCTTTTTGTAACTTATGTGGAAACGTGACATTTTCTCGGCTACTGGACAAAAATTGATGCCGCAGCCGCATCGCAGAGCAGGAGAGGATTCGATACGGGTCCACAACAGGCATCGCCGACTGGCCGACCGACCGACTTGTTTCCTGGCTTGTACGTGCCTGGATTTTTTCCTGCACTTTTCTGTTTTATTGTCGCTTTTGCCCGCTACCGTTGTATCTCTGCTGTTGTTCTTTTTTCCTTTACTCTCTTTTTGTGTTTCTTTACTTTGCTTTTGTTTTTGTTTTGTGCAAGTTTTAATGTCACACAATGACACAGTTTCACGTGCGGAGTGCTCGTAATTTGTATTTGGCCTCGTCTCGCATTTACGTTGATCTCATCGAAAATGTCTTAATTAATTTGTGCGCCGAGGCGCCCCAACGGGAAAGTGGCACAACAAAGCCGCAGCAGCAGCTGCCACCGCCGTACGGACCACGGACCTGAGGATCCAAACTAAGAAACAAAAAAGAAGAAGCAGGAAATACAGGCGGCAGGCAGAGGTGGAAAGGAAACCCACTTAATTTATGACTGGCACGACACATGCTCGAAAGATGACTTCGCATGAAGCCCCACAAAAGGCTTACAATTTTTTCCTGTAGCTTTTTTTGTATTTCTTTTGTTTTGTTTTGCGGAATCCTTTTCAACATCCTGCCTGTCTGCCTGCCTGTCACAGTAGATGGCCCCGAGTGTCGGCTGCTGCCTGTTGCACTGACTGCCAGGCACCAAGCCCCTGGAGGAACTAGGGTCGCCCCAAGGCGAAACACTTGAGCAAATGAAGCCCCCAAAGAGTCAATATGTGTAAGCGAGTGCTGCATATCGGGGCAGCACAGGGAGAGTTATTTATGCTTATGACAGATATGTATGAACATATGTAACCCAAGACGCAGCTCGTGCACATAATGAGATACGCAACAGCTTCAAAAAATAAACCCAAAAGCAGCAACTGCAACACGAAGAGAACGAAACGGAAAGCAGAAGGATAGAAATGGAAAAGCAAAAGGAAGCGGAAAAGAATAATCGACTAGTCGATGCGCTGTACCTAAAAGCATATCGATGTATGTAGTTTAATTAATCAAATCGATGTTGGGGCATGGAGTGTGATGTTTTTTCTTTGTTCTTCCGCAATATAATTAATTAAATAAAGCAAAGGCTGTATTTCCTTCTCCCCCTCCAAATAATTCGGTTCGTTGCGGTGTATCGATAGAGTATCGGTAATTATTTGTTGGCTAATTGCTGGGATCACAAAAGGTCACACCATAGTTTTGTGCGCGCTTTTCACAACCGTTGCTCCGTTTCCGCGTGTGAAAGTGAACAGTTTTTTTATTTTTTGTTCTATTTTTTAGTAGTGTCGAAATGCAGTAACCAAATGGAATAGCATATCTTGGTGCTACCCTAGGGGCACACAGGCTGCTGGCTAAATAAAAGGAGTCGAAGGCAAGTGCGATAAAAGCAACGTCAAAAGGATTAGGGCTGTGCAGCTGTAAATCCATGTATTTCCGCGTGTGTGTGTGTGCGAGTGCAAACAGAACATGTCTGCGCATAGGTGGGTGGCGTGACTTGGCATGGCGTTGCCTTTGGCTTTTGTTTGTCCCGAACAAAAGCCAGAACTAGCAAAAGGGGAAAGAAAGGCACAGAGGGATCGCCAGGAGTGGCAAAGGAAGTAGAAAAGGAAAAGTGTAAGGAGCACGACCTGCTTGTAAACCAAAGAGCTCATAAAAGGAAACACCCATACATGCATTTTGGCACAGAGTGTGGGCCGTGGGGGCATGTGTGTGTGGCACATTAATCACACTAAAGAGTTTTACAAAATGCAACCCAACTTCGAAGCGGACTGCACTGCCATAGAGGGAGAACCCGCAAGATTTTTTCAGCTGTAGTTGTAGTTGTAGCTGTAGCCTTTGCTGTTGTCACCACTTTAAGCTGCGGCTTAAAAATCGTACACCGTCGCTGGAAAGCCGCTTAGTCGGTAGCGGCTAGGAATCCGCGTCGCCCTACGTCAACGCCAGCACTTGACGTCGCTGCCAGCGTTCCCCCCTCTCCTGACACCACACAAGGTGTTTTGATGGAAGGGTGATCCAGCCCCAGAGAGCACTCTCAAGGTATGCTTGTAGGTGCCTAATTTGAGGACAAAGAGAGAGCGAGGAAGGCAAAATAAGAAACCCCAACCACACCGCATACAAATGCACCTTGCTAACTCCTTCCTACGCTCTCCAATTATACTCCTCCTACAACTCGCCACTCTCTCTCTTACTACACACCACTCCCTCTCCACTCTCCCCGCTTTTTGATATTCCTCATACATAAATGCACTACTCCTGCCGTGGCGACGTTTTTTATGGTTCTTCTCTTTGTTCGTTTTTCTTTATTTGATTTCATTTCCTTTCTGTCAAGCATTTTTCTGTGGTGCATAAGGAGCACCTTCTTCAGCCACAGCTTCCAGCGCTCGCTCCAACTCTCCACTCCTTCCTTCCACTCTCTCAACTCTTGACTCTTTTCTTCCAACTCCCTACTTCAGCTCTCAGTTGCCTTATTATGTCGTTCTTAGCACTTTTGATTACTTTTTATCCGCTTTGGCCGCGGGTTTCATAGCTTACAGCTTTGTGGCTTATATTATCCCCTATCCCCCTATCAATGTCCCCCTCCGCCAAACCCACCTCTCGACGTGACTAATGACGTGGTTGGACCCTGGACAACGCTAGAGTTTGTTTAGTCTCCATCTCTAGACTCCACTCCACTCCACCCCTCCCTTCCTCGTGATGTAAATAAATGAAATAATATTCTGCTGGTCTGGTTGTCGCGCCATGAAAAATTAACGCCGACTGTTCCATTCTTGGGTGCTTTTTGTTTCGCTTTTATCTCCCTTATTTTCTTCCCTCAATTTTTCTTCGTTTTATTTTTTTGCACGCTTTTGGTTCTGTTGCGATATTTGCTTTCATTTGTCAAGTGTTGCAAAACGTTCTTGTTGCTTGGGTTTTTGCAATTCTCTACAATTTGTATGTGGCGGTGCAACTCTCCACAATTTGTTGGTGTAGGTGCAACTCTCTACAATTTGTAGGTACGCGTAAAAGAAATGAAATATATCAATGATCTTTTACCATACCAGACAGATCTACGATCCTTTGAAATTGCTAATAGAAAAAACGCAGTAAATTATCCCATTGAGAGCATTACCATCTACGCTCTCGCCGTAGGAATAGTTTTCCCTGCGAGAATGTTTGGTTGCCTTTTCACTATTCTCGGGGAACATAAAAGTGTAAATGTGTGTGCGCAAGTGTGTGCTGTGGCCAATGGACAGTGGGGGAAAACGTCTCTTTGTGACTCTGGTGCTCGACAGTTGGTATTTGAAATGCATTAATCACCAGCAAGCCATAAAAATCCTAGTGCTTTAACTGGACGAAAAACAAGATAAATAGCCCGTAAATAGATTTTTCCCAGACATACGTAGATGTGGATCGAATGACAGAATGACGGGGCAAATAAAAATGAAGCGAATGATATACGATCGGGTATATTCACTTGAGCAATTGCCTGACATTTAACCAAAAATACTCAAATGATTAACCCACTGAAAATTCCCATTCCCTCATTGCAGGTGATGATCACAGTGCCCTCGCGATAAGTTAAAAACCAAAATGCTAAACAATGCGTATTCCATGGCCGATAATTTCCATTCATAGTCGTAAAGTCGAAACTCTGGGAGAATACTCATAAGATTGTGCACAGCCCTGCCCCACGCCAGCTACCTATGCGAAACGGGTATGTAAATGTGCTTTTTGTTGTCTTACTATAGGCATTGCCACCTGATTAATTTGCGTACTGCGAGTCGTATGATGTAGCGGCAATCTTATATAAAATCTGTTATCAAACTGAATCAAAACAAAGATATCCACCGTTGAAATTCAAACATATTCGAGTCTTATACCTTCGAAACGTACTGCTTGTTTTTGTCTTATTTGTATCTCTGTGCATATTTGATTCGATGCCAAAATTGAATGAACAGTCGCTGGAGAGACGCGCCCAATAATTTCCCAATCCATAATCATCGACAGAAGTAGCGGCAGCTGGCTAAATGGGTAAATGGCAGCGGGGGCTGGCAATTAAAATGCAAAGCCACAAAACCTCTCAAAGGGTACAAAAACAAAAAAAAAGATTATTAGTAGTAGTGCCTCGCATGACGTTGATGAGGAGGAGCTGCCTTTGCGGATGATATGTTGTTTTTTATTGAAATGTCGACATGCTTACTAATCAACAAAATGAAACGAAACGAAACGAAACGGTCAAAAAGAGTGGGGAAATATGCAATCAAGAAGTATGAGTAGAACTTGTCATACATTTCATTCTTTTTGGGGTTCTTTTTTCCCCCTTTGATTAATCATGCGCTGAATGCACAAACGACAGAGGAGCACGAGGTAACGACATACACGACACACAGGAAATCGAAACCGAAATGCAGCGACAGTTGACTTGAAACTTATTTGGTTCGAAAGAACCTCTTACCCCATATAAGAGATCCCCTCCCCTCCTGTTGTGTGTGTGTCAAAGAACCGTTGGCTTTGGCCTTTTGAAGTCTCCTCCCAGCACTCTCCACACACTCCACACTCCACACTCTACACAAGTTCTCGGGTTCTCTATGAAGTTCATTGAGCATTCAATCGGTTGACTTCTTTAATTTATGCCCTGCGAGTGTTTATTGTTTGCATATTCTTTTTCTGGCGATTCTTTACGTGACGCCGACACTTTTCTTCTTCCATGGGGTCGTCCGTTATTCTTCTTCGTTTATGGCTCTCTGCTAAGAGAAGCAATGAAAGTTTTCGTTTCGTTGGTTATTGTAAAAGGGAAATCCCTTTTTTGGTTGGGGGAGAGCCAGAGACCATAGACCAGAGCCCCGTTTTGGCATTTGTTGCAGCTTTTCTAGGGCTGGGCCGCCTGTTGACTCTAACACTGACACTGGATCGGGGACTGGGACTGGGACTTGGGCTTGGCCCTACATCCATCTATTCAACCTTCCATACGGTACGAGGATGGGCTCTCTATTGACCCAGAAAATGAGATACAATAAGAAAATGTTGCGCCCGTCTTTCTTTTTTGTTTTGTTAGTGAAATTTTGAAATGTCTCTTGAGATATGATGATGATGTTGATGATTTCCATGCGTTGGCGTTGGCTTTGGCTTTGGCTTTGGCTTTGAGTGATGCGGGAATTGCAGCTGCATTAAGTTGTCAGTCCTGAGTGGACAGGGGGGAGAGCCCTCATTGAAGATAACCGATAATTAATGGCCTTAAAAAGATATTCTTTAGGGGGGAAAAGTTGATGGCAAAGGAAAGGTTCTGTTGAGAGTTTAGTGTGGGTTTTATAACTGTTCAAAGGTAATGTGATGCGGGATTTTACAGCTTTTCGCGGGGTTCTATTGATTGATACTTTCTGCTTCTGTTTAAACTTTAAAGGGATCTTGGGAATTAAATGAAGTTAACAACTGTTTGGGTTCAATATTTTCTACAGAACATAAATAAAAATAAAAATGTCCCTTAAATTATATTAATTAACATTTACAACTGTCTCTAAATGTCTTAAACAGATTTACAACAGTTCCCTCCCCCAGCCAAATCGATTACATCGGGGCCCTCCCCCGCCATCATTAAAAACGATTCACCGGATCGGTAAACCATGCGACACCCAAACACAATAAATCTCTCTCTGCCCACCCACCAAATAAAAAACACTTTATTAATATCCCAACCCATATTTAACCCAATTTCCAGAGCATGACGCTAATTGTATTTTAACTATTATTGGGCCCCTCTTCATGGCTTACCTATGGACAGTGTTTACACAGTGCCACAAAATCGAAATCCACGAAATTTGCCGTTAAATGCACACTTTTTGCTGTAGATTTATCAATTAACACACACAAACAAACACAACCATGGATAAAAGCTGCGAACTCTCTTTTGGACACACTCTTTTTTGTTGCTCTATGTTGCGCTTTCGTTGTACAAGTATTTCGTAATATTTGCTGGATATTTCTTTTGTTTTGCTTCACTGGATTCTTTTACTTTCACACTGTGACGAAACGTTGGAAATTTGCATAAAAAACGAAACGAATTTGCTGTGCAGAAGAGAAAGAGTATCGCTCTCGTATCTCGTTGTGTGGGCAGACGACGACGACGACGACGACGACGCGCACGCGCACAAAATTCTCTCTTTGATTTTTTCTGTTGTTGCCTTGGCCTTTGAGCAGCACTCCACACTGGTAACCCTGTCCCGAACAAGCGAAAGAAACCGAACCGGTCGGAGCGACGTGCTCCAAGCTAATGAAAACCCCAAGTTCTGACTTTGAGCCGAGAACCAGAGCTCTGGCTTTAAGCTGCTGCCGCTGCCGCTGCCGCTGCCTCAGTCGCAGTCGCTGCCTCAGCTGGCTTCGCTGTTACGTGCGGACTCGTTTAACAGAGCTGAACTCTGTTGCACAGAGCAGAGTAGAAATGTTGTTCTGTGAGAAGAAGAGATTCTCCCGATCCCAGAGAGATCCCACAGACAGATATTTGCCCTCCCGGATAAACAGTTGTTTAATAGTTTTCTTTGAATTTTGACCATTTTTTGTTGTTGTTGTTAATGTTTCTTCGGGCTGCTGCTGGCGCTGTTACTTCTCGTTTGATTTGTTTGCTGAGAAATGCGACTCTTTCGCTGGTTCCCTGGCCTCCCCCTATCCCTCTCACTTCATCTCTATTTTTGGTGTAGACTTTGTTTGTTAGCAGGTATTTAAATTTCATTAACATTTGCGCCTGACTGCCCCTGCCCCTGCCCCTGCCCCTTCCGCTCCTCCTTCGGAAGAAGAAAGGTCTCTTCTTTCTGTGTGTCAACCTTTATTTGACTCGGGGGAATCGTAATATCATATTCTCTTTCGTTTTCCGAGCTCCTCCTTTGTGGTGCGTGTGAATTTTTTATGGTTCATTAAAATTAAAAGCAGAGTTTTGCTTTTGCCTTTGCTTTTGCTTTTTTTCTTTCTCTCAGTTTTATTTATAGCAGCCGATTGGCATTTCGTTGAGGCGTCCGACTGTGGGAGACTTCTGTCGAATCTTAGTTGAGCCAATGAACCCCCCAGGAGGTAAGCAGATCCAATGAGTTATAGGCCATGAAAGAACTTGGCAGTTGTCAGCTGTCCCGTCAAAATGATATCTAGAATTGGGGGAACTGGGGTAACATATTTTGTGGAATATTTTAGAATTATAATTAAACAAAAATCTCTTTGGGGATAGTCTGTTGCTGTAATACATTTTTGTACAGTGTAGAATGCCCATAGAGGGATATGCAGAGAGAGAGAGAGACTGTCACAGGCATGATTTACGATAACATAACTCTAGAATATTCAATCACGGTGCGCACACACACACACACACACCAAAGCACACTCCTCCCCATTCCACCGCTGCAGATCCCGAACAGAAACCTTTTTCAAAATGCCGCAAGGCCAGAGCCATCAAAAGACTCGTAAAAAAAAGGCAAACCATGAAATATGAGCACAAATTATGAACAGACATCACGTCAAAGGATTAACAAGACCACAAAGATCTTTCTTTCTTCGGTTTTGGTTTTTTTCTTCGTTGTTTTGTTGGTATTTATATTGCTGGGATTTCAAGGAAGTCAAGTTGGTGTCAGTGCGCGGGGTCCGGCGGGGTTGGCTTCATCTTCGAACCATAAAAACATCCACATGATAAAAATCTAACAAAGTTGGCCTTTACGCTTTATATTTAGCTGGGCGCGTTAAATGGTCAACACCCAGAAACGTTGGCCCTTTGAAGTTGGCCCTCTTTTAAATGCAGATGTTGTGCGTTGATTAAATATTGCTTTTTAATTTCTTTTATGCGCCGTTTTTTAAATGCATAGCCAATGCACGGCAGTGTGAGAGAAATGCATAGGAAAAGATTTGATTTGATTTAATGTTTTGCGGATGCCGAGCACGTAACGTTGGATAATAAAACGAAGAAAAAAAGAACATTAATAAAATTGAAAAAGAAGAAAGGGGAGGGTGGCTTTGGGAGAAATACCCTGCAGAAGCATTGGGCATCTTAGCCAGAAGGTTTAGCCAGTAATAATCATGGCAACAGCAGTGTTTTTGGACAGACGGCTAGGCGTGGCCCTCACACAGAGAAAAAGATAATGAAAGGTTGCCTGCACTAAAAAAACACTCATTCTTGGTTGGCACTCTCTTATCAAATTCAAGTTTGTGGCCTCAGTCTTTCGTAATTCCTCTCTCTCTCCGCCTGTGTTCTTATCAAATTTGTGGAAATCATTGAAGCTTATAACGGTTGAGGGAGCAGGGAAAGGGGAATTTATCAGGAAACGGTTGTTGTCGGCCGATTTGCATAACACACAAAGAGAGAGAGAGAGAGAGAGAGAGAGACGGCAACCAAATAAATCTCCAAGCATTTTGCGTCTTTGTGCGTGCGCCCACACAGTGCAGATCTTCATCATCATCCGTATCTCTCCACTCTCCCGGCACTTCTCTCCACCCCACTCTCTTGCACACATGCAAATGAGACAGCAAAGCAGAGCAGGCGCAGGAGTGGCAGGCAGAGTGGAAGAGACAGTCACAAACTGCGATCTAAAATTAGCTGCAACTTTTGTTAGGCTTCAACGACTTTGCTTGCACTTTTTTCTCTTCTCCCCTCTTCTTTTTTGCTGTGCCTTTCTTTGGAAAGCTTGTCCGTCCGCTCGTCCGCCGGTACGTGCGTCCCGCCTGTTGATTGATTGCCTGGGCCGTGGGCCCGGTCTTGGGCCTACTGCAGATGCGGGCTGGGTCTTCCCTGAATGGAACGCAACTCTCGTGCGGGCTTAACCTTTGTGCACTCTGCTGTTGCCCCTCTCGCTTTGTTCCCTCTTTTCCGTTATCTCTGTCTCTCTCCGACACTGTCTCCACTCTTTATCTTTGCTTTAGATTTGACTGCGCGCGGTCTCTTTCGGCTCTTTGAGTTTTACGCTTAATTTGGCTTTGATTGATGTTTTAGTGTTTGATTCGGACGAAAAGTTAGTTAGAGCGGGGGGCGGTTCACTGAACTTTCGTGCGCGGCACTGCAGTCCAGCGAGGGTTGCCTGAAAAGTGTCTTAACAATCTCCCCTTCACTTTTTCAAACATTTACATGTGACTCCCTCAATGCCCCCCTCATAAATCTGAACATTCTGCGGCTGACTCAACTCAACTTGCATTCTTTGCCGGTTCTGTCTGCCTCTCTGTCTTCCTATCTCCGTTTCCACATCTACCTGTCGCTGTGCTGCCTGCCAGCATACCGCACACATTTATTTATCAACCAAACAGCTGACCCACTTTGACGCTGAAACTGTTGACTGCCCTTTTGTGATTTGGACACAGGTTGGAGAGCAATTAATTACATTACAAGCCAAGCCAACTCTCCAAGCTCCCCTGTACAACTACAACTACATTTACAAACAACAACAACAATGAGAATTGTTAACAGCACCAAAAGCAGGCGTCAATCAATCAGCCAACAACATTTCTGCCACAGTCAATGGCCTCTGTGCGGAGTTGGAGCTGGAACCAGTGGGGTGGGGGATAGGAGTCCACTCCGATTGCGACTTCACGCTCCAGGTGCCATTATCATTATTTATTTGGTGCGACAAACGTTTCGCCTCCAATTAGGGCAAGAAACGCGAACATTTTTCATTCTCTACGGAACAGGAATGGGGCGAAGGGAGGAGGGAGGAAGAATGGTGGAGGAACATCTGAAAGTTGCCAATTTGGCTTTCGTTTTCGGTTCACTTATGGCCATGATGCCATTCCCATGTATTGGGTGAAAAGTTCTCATGCTACTTTCGGTTCAACGACAGTCGTTAGACATATTTCAGCCTCTCTCTCTATCTCTCTCTGGGCCTTAATAGGGCTGCCAACTGGCTGGAACAATGCCCTGTTATGGTTTCCCGGTAACAAGGATGATGGCTACCCGCTAGAGGCAGGCAGAAAGGTGGATTTTCGTATTCAAATGCGAGCAAACATGAGCAGCATCCGCATCCTCCGCAAGAACCAAGCAAAAAATAAAAAGGAACAAGGAAAAACCAAGGGCAGGCTCCACAAAACAAATAAAAATTCGCCATAAAACTGAGCAGGCTAAGGTAGAGGAATTGCGACTAGATGGATATCCTCTAAAAACAGATATATTGGTGGCAAAATAAACTAACTATAATTAAGCTCGGGGTTTCGTTAATAAACGGTTTATAAATGATTTAGAAGCCTTTTCTTGCATCCTCTACTCTGCTGAATTGACTTAGATCCCGAGTATACCCTTTGTTTATGCCGAGGGTATCACAAGAAGTAAACTCTCCAAAAAATAAACGAAACGAAATGAAACGAAACGAAACGAAGAAACGACTTTTGGCATCACGTTTCACGAATTCGCAGCAGAACACGCCGCCGCTTCTGACTTGACTCCGATTCCCGGACTTCATCTCCATCTCCAACGTCCAACGTCTCCTATTCCGACTCCAATTCCGACTTCTCGCTTGGCACATTAAAAGAAAACAAAAGCCGAGAAACACCCAAAAGAAGAAGCACAGCGAGGGAGAGAGCGAGGAATAGAGAGCCAAAGCAATAAGTAAAAGTTGCTGGCTGAAAAACAAGAGGAAGGAAGGAGGAAGAAGCTGCCGCGAAGCATCTCTCTGTAATGTATGCTCCGCTCCGTCTCCTCGATTGTTTGACTGCCTTTCCCGCTCCCGCTCCTGTTCCACTCTTCTTCAAGCTCTAATGCAAGTCTCTCCTTCCGTGCGCCTGCTCTCATCCTCTCTGTAACCAGCCTCCCCCACCTTTCCACCGCTGGCATGATCAGCAGTTTTGCACGCGCGCACGTTTGGGAGCAGCTATAAAACAGAAATATTGAGAGAATATTGCAACAACAACATAAAAAATTGGATGAATAGAAGCAAAGACTTTAAAGCGATTCTGTGGCGACTTTTAAATACTCTTTTAATGCACCAAATAGAGAGCACATAAAACGTTGGTGTGCGAAGAGAGCAGATGTAAATGTCAACATAGCCAAGCAGCTCAGTCAGCGGCTCTTTTGTAAAGAGAGCAAATATGTGCATTTACAGTAAATGAGACAGAGAGACAGACAGAGAGAGTGAGAATAAGCAGAAGCAGAAGCCACAGTGAGAAATTTGTCATGTTCCATTTTTGTAAGAACATCCACTCGGCGACTGCTTGGCAAACCATTTCTCTTTTGGCTTTTAATTTCTCCGCTGGATAAAGTGAAAATTCGTTAGGTTTACCGTTCATTCTAGACTGCTTCTCGAGTGCTGCCTTT